ATCACCTAAGAATTGTAGATGGCGTTGCTAAAATTAACACGGTCTTTTACGTTACAAATTAAAACACGCTTGCCGCGTCACATCGATAGTAAAAGAGAGAATTAAACAAAAACATAACAGAATGGAGGAACGAACAACCAGGGTGAGCGGAGATGACATTCAAAGGATATCCAGCTCAGGGATGAAGACAGGTAGTACAATATAAATAAATATAATCTAAATTAGACGCGATGTTGACCTATTTTCGATATTCGGAACAATCATCAGCTAATGATCATCAGCTACATGTCACAGAGCTGCCCCACTTTTCTAATTCAGCTAGGAACGAAGTTTCTATTGCATGCGAAGCTTAGCCACGTCCGCCGAGCTCAAATCGATATAAGATGATATTAGAAAAAGATTGAGCTTATATGGAACTTATAGATTGCGGATTGATAACGTGGCTTGCTCCGGATATGCGATGCACAAGAGTCATGTTAAATTAGATTTTTCTTGAACGACATATTATTTTATTTTATTCATTTTCGTGTTGTACTACAAAATTTAATAAAACACTTTAACGATTTAAAACGCGATATATTAGTTAAACTTATTTGAAAATTATTTTAACTACGGCCCGACGTATCGGACGCTTTGCAGTAGCCGTCTCCCCGTGACCACAGCCGCTTTTATTTAAATGTGTACTACTCGCTTAAACTACAGACAGAATTTGCTACATACATTATGAGTTTAGTATACTAAAACAATTAAAAAATAAATAATCTCAAACTGGCCGTCTGTAAAAATTAAATAATACTTTTTTACCTAGTCCACTTTTATTATTATTTGTCTGTATACCTTTCCTCTTTCTAATCTAGTAGCAATTGGTCTCACTAAAATGTCAATAGTATGTACATAGTATTTTCATTTCTTATTAAAAAATATTGATAACAGCGCCATCTGTACTGTTATTCATTTGTCCGGAAAATTCACGTTCCCATGCCAAATTAATAATTATTAGCATGTTAATCAAGACAATGATACATCATACGTACCTTACCTAATGCGTCGGCCCCGGGTGGTTAATAAATCTGTGCCTATAACAGACGAATTAATAAACAGAGACATTAAACAAATATTTCACTAGAAACTGTAATATCGACTCTTTTATTACAAATGTTTTTTTTCATAGATTGTTATTATGAACAAAACTGAAGGTTCAAACTAGCCAAACTGCTGAAATATCAGTTGAATTAAAAAAAATCGTATTGTTAAAGGAATACTGAGATGACGGCATTAAGGAAGGGTTAAGTGGTAGTTGTGGCAAGGCTAAGCCAGACAGAATTTGGTTGTACCGACAACTTGCCTAAGGGGTGACGCTGCCCGATTGAATAGTCAATCTGTCTTTCTTTTAAATAATTCAGTGTTTTAATATATGTTAATTCGAAAGTAGGGTAGTTAGGTTTTTGTGAATTAATTTAATGTAGATGTGGAACCGGTGAATACTTATAGCCCTTTTTTATTGTATTCAACCCGTTGTCTCTATATAACGGGCGTGATTAAACCCACCTTACCACTTTAATCGTAGATTTTCTTTACAATATTTCTAAGCACACTCATAACATTAAATTTGATCAATATAAGTTCTCACCCATCCTTTATTTATTGAAAAGTCTTGTCCACGGAAAAAAGAAAGAGTGTGGTCTCCCCCTCACCATGGCTACTGCAAAGCATTCGAAACGTCGGGCCTAAGTAAAAATAAAATTTAAATAAGTTTAACTACTATAAATCGCGTTTAAAACCGTTAAAGTGTTTTATTTAAATAAGTAAGTATGGGTAACACGTAAACTTTAAACAAAATAAGTATTCTGTCTCTATAATTATGTTACTCTGTTAAATATTCCACGCAGTAAGTGCAAGCCCGTGTTAGAATGGTACGCATTAACGAGTAAATTATTTTGTCTTTTGTATATGGTTCAAATTTCAAAATTTCCTTGAAATTGAAAAGGGGGATTTAATTGGAGATAAAATCCAGGTTTTACTTAATAAATCCTTTTAAACAATACATGGAACTCAAAGTAATAGCCAGGTTTTCAGGTGTTTTATTGAACGAAACAAGCCTTGTTATATAAACTTTAAGTAATATAAATTATTACTTAAAGTTTTCCCCTAACAAATAAATCAATGTTTTCATACTAGACTGTCTGTATAGGGAATACCTCGCTGCACATTCCATGAGGGATAAAGTGCCACAATCAATGCGTCAGAACATTTTAAATACCACTAAAAGTCCCACCTCTATAAAATACTTGGCATTGTTTTTAAAAGAAGCCTTATTATCTTTTTATTGGATGAATACAGCCTATAAATTCACTCCGTTGAAATTAATATAAAGTAATAACATTAGTATTTGGATACAGCATACGCTACTCGCAGTTTGTAGACAACAATCCACAGAGCACGAGAGTCAAAACTTTCAATCCCACAAAGAGCTTACTTGAGAATAGACAAGATAGAGTGATGGGCCACTGTTGTCGATGAAATACGTTATAAGATTTCATTACTTATCGTAAAGTAGTATCCATTACAGAAAAGTATTTCTATAAAGTACCAATATCTGTTGAACCAATCAAACATTTCCTGGAAGTCTGTGATCAGCCTTAACCAAAAAATTGTAATTTTTACCGCGACTAGAAGCCAGGACCTGTCGTGCTTAAGCCAGGCCGCTTGTTTGACTGACTCACGAAGGTGTGTTACTTACCCTAACAGTTAAATAAAACACTTTAACGGTTTAAAACGCGATATATATTAGTTACACTGACGTTTCGCCTTCATGTTACCACGGCTGCTGCAATTAATAATTATGGTCGGGTCGTAGTTAAAATAATCCTTTAAATAAGTTTAACTGATATATCTCGCCTTTTAAACAGTTAAATTGTTTTATTTAAATGTATACTACTCGCATAAACTATAGATAGTATTTATCCTAACAGAATAATTTAAAATTTCACATTTGCATCTGGTCTAATACTTTTGAGAGGCATAAAATTTCCAAATAAACGTAATTAATTGGAGAATTAATTTATAAATAATTGTCTTTCCTTTAATTACGATACAAACTACATTAACATGTTAAAATTACTTTGTTCAGTAACAAATTGTTATTATTTAAATCATTACATAAAAGACAAAAGTTAAACATCCTAATCTACTCACACTAAAATATTAACATCTTAGACACAAATATTTTCAGTTAGTAACTTAGCAATTATTACAATATGGCGATAAGGCCGCCCATTGCACTCCATAACTTGGAAGTATAATTTATCTTTAAAAGTTGTATTATACAAAATATTTTTAGGAAACATGTATATATACTTTGTGTTTGCGTGTGTTGCAATAAAGATATTAATAAATAATTGCAACTCAGGGTAGATAATCAAAATCTATCGACAACGCCGAGACATCCCTAGAAATTCCCCAGAAGTGCAATATCGGATACAGGGTTACGTCGACGGAATAAAATGCGGGAATCTGCAACACAAGTTGAGTGTCGAGCCGAATGCAAGTGTAGGTACCAACGATGTAATCTCCAAAGATTTGTTTACATTAAGATTTTCGTGTGAAAAGAGAAATGGAGTAAGAAAGTGACGGAAAGTCCCTGGGGAGGGAAAAGAAAAAGAGGAAGACCCCCGAAAAAGATGGGAAGATGACATTAGGAAAGTGGCCGGAGTCACGTGAAATAGAGTAGTCCAAGATAGATAGAAGTGGAAAAGGTTGGAGGAGGCTTTTGCCGATCGCCACACGGATCTAGGCTTATGATTAAAATAGAATATATTGTAGTACTAGTAGAAAATAAACATTATAATTATAAGTAAGAAACACTTATTATTGTAAATTTTAAAGTTTAGTATTCGCAATAAAGGCTTTCTCATTTTTCATTTCAAGTTTTTCGTGTTGTTTAAAAATAATTCAACAGCTACAAGGCCCCATTATTAATGCGTAGACAATTTATTTAAAGATACAATCTTTTTAAATTAAACTATTTTAGAATGTTAGTTTGAATTACTTTTTGAATTAGGTACAGACTATATTGCTTAATTGTAAGCGAGACCTCGATCCTAAAAAAAGTAATTCGTTCAAAATCCATTTAGTTTATTAATCAAAAAGACATATTGAGGCACGCATCTACATTATTATGAAACCACAACATAATGAAACTACTAATTTGTATAGCTCCACCACAAAATCTCGTTGAAAATATAACAATATAATGTCAAACCGCAAAATAATGTAAATATGATTGTAAAACGAAAATGCTCTGTACATTGTACACACAATAAGAACTAAAATTTCATTCAAACACTGAAGGTATAAAAAGAATTCATATTTATGTTAAAATATTTTTAATATCTTAAATTTTCTATTGAGTTTTTTTATAATTATACCCTCTTAAAAGCTGACATTTTGTATTCATTAGACGTGTATAATTGCGAATAATTTATTCATAATCTAAAATCAGGAAATGAAAGAATCTATTGCATTAACCATGTTTACTGCCCATAGCTTAAGTGTTAAAATAACACTTAACGATTTGCTAAAAAAATTTGGTATGTACGATAATTGCGATTCTGTAGTATTTATTTAGGTGTAATTGTATTTATATCATTTACTGACATTGTCAACGAAAGTTTGATAATTTAAATATTTGTACAGGTTTACTGCATTGGAAATCGCGTGTTAACTATAGATGGAAAGAAAATTCCGATCAAAAGCTGACGCAACGTGAATAATTGAATAACACAAACATTTTCTTGAAGGTGATAAGTTACTAACAATAAAAAGTAAGTATCAAATGACTTAGCGCGCACTATACTTCTGGTGACTGGCGCGACGTCACCTGGTTCCACGTTCGCGCGCGATTAAAAATCCTTCCAATATCAAACAGTGTGGCATAGACGATATAAAGTTTTTGAAAAGCGCGCAAATAATCGCGCGAGTTTTTAATCTATTTATTCAAGATGGATGTGGAAAAGAAAAAAGATGAAATCACCGTCGACGATATTTTGTTGGATCTCGGACCATTTGGGAGGTTCCACTTGACTAATTATCTATTGATTCTATTCCCAGTGCTTTTGGCGGGAATGTATTCTTCAGTGTATAATTTTGAAGCTATGGATCTTAAATATAGGTAAATAGTATTAAGTGTCAGAGCCTAAGAGGCATAGACAATCTGTTCTCGTGAGGTCAATATAAATGTTAACCTGTTTGAAAACAAACAATTAATATTCTTTCTTGAGCTGCTTGAAATATAGATTTTTTTTTTAAATTTTCATCACCTTTTAGGAATCATCGTTTATCTACAACCCCTTTTGACATTGCTGTTGTGGCACAAGGTTGTCGAATTTACGGTTGATTTAAAACTGACCTCAATAATTCTAACTATGTATATTATGGATGTAACAGTTGACGTTGAATGAATATCACTTTTTTTTACCGAATTAAAATAAAAAGACATTTAATAACTTTAAATGTCTTTTTATTTTTTATTTTTATAATTCGTAATTAATCGATAATATATAACGTATGTCACCATTTAGAAGTAATAAAAAATATTGTATTACATTTTAATGAGCTTGAAGTGAATAAATTTCTTCCATTCCAAATTGATTTTGCGGTTCAGATATAACACGAGTTTTTATTAATATGGTTATTAATGTTATTTTGAGAACAACCACACGAATAACCTACAAGATAGACTATAAATAAGTATTTATGCAAACGTGCGTAGTTCTCAATTAACGTACAATTTATACATTCAAGGAATACCATAAAACGATAGTATTCATTAGAAACATGGTAATTCAGGAAGGAAATCTTGTTATTGCTTAGGTTTAAGTTATATGATGCACCTCGTATACAATATTTATATATTTTGATTAATTCTATCCATATAAATTATTGAACAAATTTCTGTCCTCTCTTTTTGGCTTTTGTATTCTTAGTTACTTAACTATAGATATAACATATGACGCTGCTAGAGGCAGAGTGGCCTAGTAACAAAAAACATGATTTTCAATACGGAGTTAAATAAAAATGCACCAGTAATCACGGCTGCTGCAAAGCATCCGAAACGTCGGGCCGTAGTTTAAATCATTTCCAAATAAGTTAAACCAATCTATAATGCGTTTTAAAGCGTTTTATTTAGTAGGTACTACTCGCGTAACCTATAGACTTATTTCTCATCAATCAAATATTTCAGGTGCTCGATTCCTGAATGCGAAGACCCGTCAATCGTGAATTTCAGCATTCCCCACGACGCAAATGGGGAGCCCTCGAAGTGCCGCCGCTTCGCCCCCTTCTCTAACTTTACAGCCCTGAATGACACATGCTCGCCGAACTATTATGACACTTCTACAGAAATCAAATGCGACTCATATGTGTATTTTGAGGAACATTCTATTGTCAAGGAGGTAAGTGAATTTTATTTTTGTTACTTTTTACGGAATAGAACTAAAAAAAACTTCAATTTTTTAAACAAAATAAACTTCTGTTAATCCGCCAATGTTAATAAGTAATGCACTAATTAAGATGATTAAAAATGATTTAAGATTTTGCAATATTTTTTTTGAATGTATAACCTAGAGATAAATGTGAATAAATAGTCCAATTTGAACAATTTCTAATTATCTTCGTCTCAAGGTTAATTTATTTAACATTGTGCTTGGTTCAGAAAGTTCTCATACAAATCTAATATTTAAATAAAAACCTTAAACGGGACGGGAATCAAACACACGACCCCGGGTCCGTGTTTTTTGAACTAAGTATACATATAAAGCTACTGGTTGTGTTAGCGAGTTCGTTCGCGTAGAGTAGTTATTTTGGGCATCCAAACCGTTACTACAGCTTTATAAATTTAAGCTGCCCACGACATCGGTCGCGTCCCGTCGCTCACGACCCGTCCTTCGGGTCCCGTCGTTCTTGCAAGTTAATTTTAAAACATAGTCATATAGTGTTGCTGGCATTTTTTTAGATCATTAAAAGAGGAATCATTATTTCATACATGTTTTGTGTGTCTTGAATCGATTTCGCATCTGAAACCCACAGAGATGAAAATTTTCCCCCGTTTTTTTCACATTTCCCGCTTCGACTTCACTCGTATTAGTCACACCGCGATGTTTTATAACTTATAGCCTTCCTCGATAAATTTTCTAACCGACACAAAATTATCAATTCAAACCCGTAGTTCCCGAGATTAGCGCGATCAAACAAACAAACAATATCTTCACCTTTATATATTAGTATACATTTAGTTTTCACCTTTGAAACAAGTACCTCATAATACTCCGACACAATCGATCGGATATCACGAACGCGTATTATTATTTTAAATATTACACACCTATTATGAAAACCATTCGATTAATGAAAGAACATTCTTTATTTCTCCACTATAGCTTTGATTGCGAAAGTGGATATTATAAAACAATACACGTGCATAGATTAAATATCGTTCAGTGCCGCAATGTATCTGGAAATTGTAAAATTATCATTTACAAAAAATATAATTTATCCTACGGTACTGTCTATAGTTTACGCGAGTAGTAAATAAAACACTTTAACGGTTTAAAACGCGAGATATTAGTTAAACTTATTTGAAAATGAGTGAATTCACGGGAATGACCACGGCTGCTGCAAAGCATCCGAATTCGATTAATATCGAAATTTAATGTCGGCTGTGTACGAACATAGATCGTGCTGTCTACATATGATTCAAGAACATTATTAAATATCATATTTATTCATGTTATTCACGTTTTGAATCAGAATTAATGGGGAATAATATAGAAATACTAGCTGTGCCTGCGACTTCGTCCACGTAGAATAGTAACTTTGGGTCGAATTTTAAATTATTTAGACTGTATATTTATTTATTCTATAAATTTAATGAGACACATGAATACATAATAAGATAAAATTTTTCATTGCAAAGAGCTTATTAAGGCGTTCATAATAAGTATTATATCCATTGTATAGTGTATTTTTTAATTCTTATTTGAGTACACTTTTATAGTTAGGTAATTTCGCATTTAAAATACTAGTAAGTTCTATAAAAATTGATTACGATACAACCACACAACTTTTATACCTTAATCAACAATCAATTTTTACAATACATGTCACCGAAAAGGGCGCATTCAAGGCAGTCAATCTTTGTCGTAAGTGTTACTTTGCCGCAACACTCCCACTCTCTCCTCACATAACTCCCGCCCTAACTCCCACTCTCACTCCTACACTCATTCCCACTCTTACTCCCATTCTCAAAAAGCCAAGGAAGAAAGTTTCATTGTTCTAGCTTAAAAAATCACGAATTTCCATACAAACTTTCACCCCCCTTTTTTTTACTTGGAGAAATCGAATTTTTACCGACGCCCCCGCCTAGCCAAGTGGCGGGGGGAGTGTGGGGGTCAGCCAGCTTGGCCACTACCCACTAAACCTCCAAGAGCCCACGGAAGGCTTGCCAGACGCGAGCGGGCGGTTAGTTGCCCTAGACCCGCATGCCCAGGCAGGACACACGGGCACGTGTCCTGCCCGTGTTCTTTGCTCTTTAAAAAATGTTCTCTTAAATTAGAATGGGTGTACTTGTCTAGATTACAATACCTATATCTAGATTTCACTTGTAATTTAGGATCCAATGTTTAAATACGTACAGTCAATTCTTAAGTCTGTATGTCAAAAATACTACGCGACTAGTACAAAATTTTTGACTCGGGCAGGACTTGAACCGACATGCTCAGCGCTCCGTGCTGTTGATCTAAATGTGCCATCATGTGAAAAATATTAAAGTTTTCAAACGTAGGTACATATTTAAATAAAACACTTTAACGGTTTAAAACGCGAAATGTATTAGTTAATCCATTTACAATATATATTCATTTTAACTACGGCCCGACGTTTCGGATACATTTCACTCTGCAGCATGTCCCCCCGAAAGCACGTAATGACTTCTTACTTATCTACTAAGAATGTATTTTTAGCAAATATGTAAGTAATACTTCGTTTATAATAGTAGCAATGTATGAGTAATCAACGGGTCGTGGCTTCGATAGCCACCGGTCCAATATGTTTCGAATCGATTCGAAATTTATATTTTTTCTGAAACATGTCGCACTTCGTCTGGAAATCTCAATAATGGGTGCAAAGGTGGTTGTGGGTAGGTAGGATATAGAAATTCCATCCGGGTCACGAACCACCACCGTCCACAGATGCAAAGCCGCGAAGCTTCGTCACGTTACGGTTTCAGCCTGTAGATTTCCGATTGCCTTAGCCAAAACAGGTCCATAGCGCATCTATCTTGTTTAGATGCTATAGGCTTGGGTATTACACCCATCAAGTGAAACCCTTGCTTGTCTATCTTCTTCTATCATTAAAAAAAATGCAAATTTCCCCATTGCGCATTTCATAACTGGTCATAATAAGTTCAGCCGTTGAATTGATTGAGTTCTTATCAGTAACGCTACTGCCATTGAGACCAATTAAAAATTGGAATCAACAAAACATCCATTCATTTCTGTAAACCAAGGAATGTTAATAACGTTATTGGAAGTGCGGAAAATTGATAATCAATGGATTATAATTGTGACGGTTGAACTTATCGACAATAATGAGAGACGAAATTATATTATATGAGACCGCTAGAGGCAGAGTAGCCTAACTGCAATTTTATGACTTGAGTTATAAATATTTTTAAAGTCTTAAAATTTAATAAAACACTTTAACTAAACGCGATATATATTAGTTAAAGTTGAAAACTTTATAATTTTTTTTCATGTTTTTGCACATGAAAGCGAAAAATAGAAAATAAATTAAAATAAAAATTTGACTTAGGCAGGACTTGAACTGGCATCGTCAGCGTTCCGTGCTGTTGCTCTACCAATTGACCTACCGAGTCAGATACCTCATCGTCGAATTTTGTGTTTGTGTTTTTAGTTAAAATTATTTGAAAATTATTTTTAACTTCGGGCTGATCCAATGCTTTGCAGCAGCTGCGGTCACGGGGGGACTAAAGACGGAGGATGCCTCTGACGTCAAAGTACCGAGACCGAAAATTGTTAAAAGAAGCGTTACAAACGTTGAGTTAAATAATAATGACACTAAATGTAAAAAAATAGGTCGTCATAAACGTAATTTTGAATATTGAGGTACAAATATAATCGATATTTCTCCATCCCTGTGTTATCTGTGGCAACGACTTTGCTCTATACAAGTTTATCTACGGTTTAAAATCGGGCATATTTGCTATGGTCTTTTTCCAAGTTAGAAAAACATTATAGATAATCGATTTTTAGTTTATACGAAAGGAAAGGAATTAGAAAAGTTATGCAATTTACAAACAATTAAAATGTTTAGTAATTCGCTCTATAAAATCTAAATATCGGTGGTGTTTCCATTATCAGAAGATCGATAGGGTTAGTTCAAGGCAGCCATTATAAAAATGCACGCGATACCTTGACATAAGAAACGAGGGCGCGAAAAAGACGCCAATTTCCCATTTTCAGAAAATTCTTTGTCTCTCCACGTGTTTCTAAGTATTACAACGCAAATCTTTAAATGTAAATACCTAAGTATAAATCATTTTAATTTTCATTTGTTATACTTGTATTGATAATCAATAATATTTATTATATATTATGTTAAGGTAATTCCAATGTAAACAAATTTCAATCAAATCTTAATGCAATAATTAAAACTAATCGTAAAATAACTCCAATACACGTCACGCGTGGAGTTTTCACAAAGACTAAACGCCATCCCATATAGATGTGTTGTAACAAACGCGTTAAGTAATTGATCCTGGTTACCGTCAGTGATTGTAATAATTGTTATGGTAGTCGTTGAAACCAAGCTACATAAAGCTTCTTCGAACTCTCTCCTTAGGATACCCTTCCCAGCTGTGGGAATATCTGTAAGAAAATCTGCTCTTTTACGCCTTTTTTGGTAAGTTTCATGATCTCCCCTTTCACTCCGAAAGAGACTTAAGTTACATTTCAGTTGTTTGTTTCTAATTACTATTGTATTATGTTACATTTAATTACTACATGTTATACCTATTGTAATTTTCTTTACACGCCTGCAGTTTCACGTAGTTGTCCAGGCTCAACCTATTACAACTAAAAACATTTCTGATTTCTTTGCCATGCACGTTCCTCTACACAACAGTTGTCATAGACACACTTACTGTGAAATTTGCCTATTGCAACGCCAATAAGTTGATTCCCAGAGACAATGAGTAAAATTATTGTATTCTCACAATTAATTCGCTCAGGTGTCAAGGCGAACAATGCATCAATTGTTATACAAGCATTTACTCCATTTTAACTTAGTTATGTAATATTTTATGTCAATACGGACGAGGGTTCTGATCTGATGACGCAGGCCATTCTTGTGCATATATTTTAGTAGCTGTGCGCCTGAGTGCGAATCATCAGAAGAAGATAAATAGATTCATCATCATCACATACTGAAATGGTTTGCCCTATATCTCAACTGATATTTTAAATAATTTCAGAAAGGAACGGTTTGAATTACAAAAATCTTAGAAATTCGGAAATGGCTTGGGTATTTCACCTCCCATCAAGTAAACCCCCCCCATACTTGACTGCCCCCTCTGTCATAAAAAAAACTCAGATACACATAAATCGAAATACAAAACAAAATGAGAACATTGTCTATGGCGAAGTATAGTTAAAAATGAATAGTAATAGATTTTGACAGGAATTACAATTATACTTAGTAAAATTCATATCTTTCCCTTATGTGAAATGTTCGCGGATCGGAAGACTTACATATGATTGTTCCGCATTCTATTACCAAATAAAAAAATTAATTATCTATTACTAGCTGTGTCAGCGACTTTGTCCGCAGAATAGTTATTTTGGACATCCAAATTCGTTTTTGCAAACCCCTTCATCTTTTTAAACTTAATCTAATTTTTCCATTCGAACCTGTAGTTCCTGAGATAAGTGCGTGCAAACATACAAACAAACAAACTCTTCAGCTACATATAGTAGTATAGATTTCTACTACAACAATGAATAGCTAAAACATATATCGACCGGTTTTTAGTCTAAATATAATGATCCACAATAACATGAATCCAACACCAACAGTAATTCGTTTATCGTTTGATAGCATCAACTTTGACACTGTGTTTAACATGTACCATTATTCTGGCTTCTTCATTATTCTATTGTGCATTAAAGCAATTACATGTTATTACTGTAGTGTTGTAAATGTTTGACAAATCACTATATTTAGGGAGCAAATTGCTGTCACAATTGTTTAGTGTCACCGCAGACAGGTAATTAGTGTTGACATTATTATTTTCAACGTTTTGTAGATACATGAACAGATTAGCACACACTTAATAGTTTGATTTTCTGTGTTTAATTTACGGTTTTATGATCCTTTAAAATGGTGCTTATAAGTAAGGTATATACCTAATCTTGTAATCATAACACCAAAATACATAAAAAAACGTCTTGGTGTGGTGGGATATTAATATTCATAATATGGTAATCTCTAAAAGTATTTAGAAAAACAGCAATATCTTTTAATATAACAATTTTCAATTTGAACATGGCAACATAATTAATTAAACCGAGATTTAGTTGAGAAGACAAAATCTCGGTTTAATTCCTAACCTAATATTATTGTTAAGGCCCTTGCATACCTAGAGTAGGTACATACATTATGCAATGCCAGTAAATTGTCAAATGTAAAATTTCAAAGTCAACTGTCAAGTTTTATTCACTCTCATTTTCTAACTGATTCTCCTCGTTATCTTTCTTGATTACAGAATAATACTTACTGAAAATCACTTAATTAGCTAAAACGATACAGAATAAAGAAAGAATTGAAACACAAAATGTTTCTTTTTTCGTTGGGAAAACCACAGATTCAACAATCATAGTTACACTACAAAGTTCACAAAAATAACAAAAATCTATATTTTGACGTCACGAAGACCACAATGCCAATAAAGCAAATTGACATAGTAAATCTTTATTTTGGAACTAATAAACTATGTTTACTTTATCGGTTAGAACATCTCATTGAAAACGGCCTATTGCAATATTTAAATATATAATATAATCTTATAAAATAATTGTGTGAAAGTATTTTTAACGTTTATGACATATTTTATATGGAAATGTGTTAATACTTTGTTAGATAGTTATAACTATCTAACGATTAGAGATTGATGATTTATAAATCATGATAATAATACACTCTCTTGTAGCTTTTCTTTGTTCCAAGCATGTTAAGTCCAGGCCACATAGTAACCAGTGAAAATAAAAAAAATATATCTCAATCAGTAAAACTTACTTATAAATTATATTACTATTTAAATAACCGCTACTGTGATCGTCAGAAATTGTTCAAAGAAAATCTCAAAACACTTTCGTTTATAACAAAAACATCCCAGTTCCGTAACGAAGAAACTTTCTACAACAATATGATAAAAAGCAAAGATTTGAGTCTTTTTTAACATTAGAAGCGCATTTCAAATCTAAAAGCATAATGATCCGTTTAAATTCGTTTCTTTCGTTTCTAGATTTAATTTAAAAAAATAAAAACCCTTAGAAATACCAATTATGTAAAATTTTGGGATATTTTAAAATTAAATAAATATTTTTTAATAGTTGGCTCATACAACATAACTTGAAACCTAAATAACTTGGGCCTCCTCCAAAGTGGTTCATGCGTTTTGGACAGTTTTCGTTATGAGCCCTGTTGAATCTAACAGTCCTAGTTCTTTACTACATATTTTGTACTATAACTTATTCGGGTTCTGAATTTGTATATGGCGACGTATTTTTATTATTGTTGCGATACAAATTACAATAAATGCAAAAAGGATAATCCCGTTGCAACAAAAAATTACAATAAATGTAAAAAGGATAATCCCGTTACACCCGTTGGTTATGGGGCACACTTTTATTGATTGAATTATATTATATATCAGTTAATTAATATACCATCTACTAAGGGAATTTAAAAAGAATAATTAATTCTCCATATTCATATCGTTTTTACATAAATAATAGCTTTGGGCGTACGATAAAGTAGTAAAACTTTTATTTCAAACACAAACGTACTTACTCACGTAGTTTGCAATCGTAAAATGATAAGAAAGTAAAAGCGGAACTTAGTCAATGGCAAATGTAAGTACATATGAACTCGATACTTATAGCACATGAATAATAAATGAAAAAATGTTTATAGCGTTGTTTATTAATAAATCTTGTGTACAATATAATGTATATAGTTGCATTGTTTGATAGTACGTTAACTACGAGTGAACAATCGGCGTAGTATTTTTTGTTCGGTCTTACTTCTTGCATTACTTTAAACACTTATCTGTGACTAGCTGTGTCAGCGACTTCGTCTGCGTACAATTTGGTTTTAAGCTGGTCGATACTAATATGTTTACAAAAAATTTGACCCGATTCTACAATTGACTAGTCAATAATCAAAATATTAAATACTGTCTATAGTTTACGCGAGTAGTACACATTTAAATAAAACACTTTAACGGTTTAAAACGCGATATATGAGTTAAACTTATTTGAAAATGATTTTAAACTTCGGCCCGACGTTTCGGATGCTTTGCAAACGTCGGGCCGATGTTAAAAATCATTTTCAAATAAGTTTAACTAATATATCGCGTTTTAAACCGTTAAAGTGTTTTATCTAAATCGAAATATTGTTAATAATTGTACATCAATGATTTACCTACGTTACCTCTACAACATACAGATTTGAAGGACTCGTTGGTGTAATGGTAGCAATGTGTGATCGATCCCCACCGAGTCCATGATTTTACTAATACGATCTAATCGAACCACAAACACCACGAACAATTCACGAACCACCGTTAGCAACTGAAAAAGTTGTAACGCCTTGTAACGAGTTGTAATTTCGCTTTGAGTTTGTGGATTTTCGAATATCCAAAGCCAGATAATATCGAGATTAACGAATTATATTAAGTATGTTATCTTTCTATCGATGTTTCTATTACAAATAAATGTAATCCTTATATATTTCAGTTTGACCTGGGCTGCCAGGATTGGAAGCGTTCCTTAGTGGGAACAGTCCACAACGCTGGTTTCTTCATATCCATCCCACTTACTGGCTTGTTATCAGATAAATACGGAAGGAAGATCGCTGTTGTGTTCGCGAGCGTTGCGAATGGCGTGTTCGGTGTAATACGAGCCTTCTCCATCAATTACGAAATGTTTATCGTGCTGGAGTTTCTGGAGCCGGCCCTTGGTGCTGGGGTGTATACAGCGTGCTTTGTTCTTGGTGAGTTTCTGATTTGTCTATACGTTATGTTATACAATTTGAAACCAAACGTCCTTATTACAAAAAATACTTAAACCAGAATTGCAAAGTCTTGGTCTCTTAAACCATGGTCTAAATAAATCTAAGTTATTATCAAACTTAGTCCAGTAGAAAAGTTAAACTTCGTTTTGTAATAAGGATTTAATATAAACCCGGGTTCAAACCAGGTTTGTTTTGTAATAAAAGTGAAAATGTTAAAGATTGTTTGAAAGGAATTATCATTTTTTAATATTTTATAAAATATCCCAATAGAATATAATAATCGTATGAGCTTTGAGCTTTGCTAAGTACTTAGTCATATTTGTACATTGTAGTACATGTTGTGAATATTTAAATTAAAACTCGATTTTAGATTTTTCGACACGGCTGGACTTAAACCGGCACCCAATTGAGCTACCGTGTCTTAGACGTCATTGACGAATTTTTTCAACATATTAAACGTTTATTTAACGCAAGAAAATTTTAAATTATAATTCTCAGGAAAGAGCAAAGTGTACGCTAGGCTTCGTTTTTTACTATCACACACAATGACACGCAAAACAGCATACAATGTTGAACGACATAATAAATGGAACAGCCTGTATAAATAATTGGTATTATGTCGATCGATTGAATACAATAATTGACCTTGGAGTACTTCCTACCTTTGAACACTGGTTTCCTACATCACATAGGAAATTTAATACATAATTTGATTTACTTCTATTAGTTATGTTTTCGCACGAACGACTTCCATGATAACTTGGGTACCAGGGTTTTTTTTGGTTACACCGAATCATGGGCGGAAATTCTATACCAAGTTGGCGATCATGGCTTAACTAATTTTGATAGAAATTAAGTGTGATAGCTGATTACTCTAGCTAAGACAAGATAAAAGAATTGTAAATAACGACATCACAATAAGACAAATTTCGCTAAGTCAAGTGAAATAAAAGTGCTGGTGCACTTTTATTTCATCTATATGTACTAATATTATATTATAAATGCGAAAGTAACTGTGTCTGTCTGTCTGTCGGTCCGGCTTTAACTCCGAAACTACTGAACTGATTTAAATGAAATTTGGTGCACAGATATTTTAGAGCCTGAGATAAAACATAGTCTTCTTTACTTTAGTACTTAATGCCAAAAAAGGTTGATAGAGGTTGAAAAAGGGGATGAAAGTTTGTATGTAAATTCGTGGCTTTTGAAGCTAAAACAATGAAACTTTCTTCTTTGGCTTTTTGAGAAAAGGAGTGTGAGTAAGAGTGGGAGCGGGAGTGAGTGTAGGAATGAGAGTGGAAGTTAGAGTAGAAGTGATGTGAGGTGAGAGTGTTGCGGCAAAGTAGCACTTACAACATAGATTGGCGGCCTTAAATGCACCCTTACATAAATTAATAAATAGCCTAAATAATTAAAAATTCTACCCTAAGTCACTATTCCATGCGGACGAAGTCGCAGGCACAGCTAGTATTAAATAAAACAATTTTAACTGTCTATAACGCGAAATATATCCGTTAACTTATTATTTAATTAATTTAACTACGGTCCGACGTTTTGGATTTTTAGATTTGGATGCTTAGATAATATATTTTCTTTATTTATTGTTGATATACACAATGGATATTTATATTTAAAATGTTTTGTTATAGTTAAAGTTATCTATACATCGGTCTGCCAGACACCAATGCATAAATAAACAGCAACGAAAACTAAACAATTGGTGAAAATTTCAACTCTCTCGCTATGGCACTACTTTATATGACTGGTGATAGACAGACAGCAAATTTGGTAACATGGTCGAGTTTTATATTTTGTTTACGAATCTTAAGTAATAAATATCCAATACCTTCCACATTATACAACGTACAAGTACTAACGTAAAGTAAATCCGTTTAACGCAGCTAGTTCAACATAAACTATTATAAAATCTTGTCCAATACATTTATCACATAGCAACTTGTTATAATAAATCATCATTTATTTATTAGTTGTCAAGTTAAATTGACAGCATTACTATTACTAATCACTATTAGTATGTTATTGTTTCCTGTTTGTATCTATGCATTGATAGCTGAGGCATATTCGAGAAAATAAATTCAGGAAAATTTTAGGAATATTTAAACTTACAATCGGGTCTCCAATTCTTGACCAAGAGCGCAGCGCGAGTATTATTAGATTTTGAAGCATAATTTTTACATCTTTTAATACTTCGATAAATCTCTACCCTGTAAACATGATAATCTATATCTATACTAATATACAAATCTTTAGAGTTTGTATGTTTGAACGCGCTAATCTCAGGAACTACTGGTTCGAATTGTTCTCTATATAATATAAATGCTCTAACTAACACAAAATATTCACAGATAGAGCATTTATTGAGGAAGGTTATAAAACATAGCGCTGTAACTAATAGAAGAAGAAACAGCGGGAACTGTCAAAAAAAGGGGAAAATTATCCATCCTTGTACTATATTAAGATGAAGGGATTTGCAAAAACGAATTCGGGTGCCCAAAATAACGATTCTCGCGGACGACGTCGCTGACACAGCTAGTAAAATAAAGAGCTCAACTAGTAATTTCAATAGGTACTTCTAGGTGTAAGTACATATCTAATTAAGGCCTTATTTGTAATTAAGTGATACGGTTTTTTGTTTACAATTAGGATGTTTTTATGATAGGGGAGGTCCGAAAAGCATGCAGCATTTCTACCCACACATTTAATATTAATATTTCCGGACAAAATCCAACATGTTTCGGAAATACTATAAATAATTTATTAGAAATATGTTGGATCTAGTCGTACCATAACACCTCTCGATTATCCTTCAGACACTTTTAATATATGCATTAAATAATAATTAGTTTATTATTGAAGGAAAAACACTTTAAATTAAGCAGTAATTGGTTTACATTGTTGTTGATTAAATTCTTAAACGTACATACCTTAAAAAATTTAATTAATAAGAATAACACTAAATTAACATTATTACGTATTCGTATGACTATACAAATATAGGCAAAGAAACGTGATGGCAAGTTTCATAAGAGTATATAAAATGATATAAAATTAAAAATAAATTACTAAAGTTCGTGTTTGACTGTTCAGAAGTTCGGCCAATCGTATGCCAAATAGCCATTTTAGTATGATACGGCTGTCTGCTAAAGTTATCGACTACCAAAGAATATTGTACTACTAATATCTCAAAAACATGTCAAATATAGGAACCAAAAACTAACAAAAACTTATTGAAAATCCGTTCTATCGAAAGTAAGACCACATGGAACCATTCAAACACGTCTATGACAAATTTACGACTATTTAGTTAGCTTATAGTCAAAGTAATCCATTCTTTTCTATTTAAGGAATGTAACTGTATTCTTTTTCTGTTAAACAAAAAATGTCACCAGCCAGTAACAGTCGGTGAAAACAATTAACTATGGAACGACAGTTCAGCACAATACGCTTCACTGGACATTTAAAACTGAATTAAAAACACAATTTTATTCTATTATTACTTTTAGACTGATTCACTCACAAAATGAGTCATGAGTTTTGGTTGAGAATATATACCTACTGTGTACCGACGTGAAATCAATTTTCACGAAAAGAAAGCATGTGTTAAGAAAGAAGTACGAGTATATTACAAATAATTTAAATAGTTAAACAAGATGAGACACAGATATTCGGTTATATTCCTTACTAGCTGTGCCCGCGACTTCGTCCGCGTGGAATAGTGACTTGGGGTAGAATTTTTAATTATTTAGGCTGTTTAATAATTTATGTAAGGGCGCATTTAAGGCAGCCAATCTATGTTGTAAGTGCTACTTTGCCGCAACACTCTCACTGCACATCACTCCTACTGTGACTCCCACTCTCATTTCAACACTCACTTCCACTCCCACTCCTATTCCCAAAAGACAAAGAAGAAAGTTTCATTGTTTTAGCTTCAATGACTTCGTGGTCATTTCCATACATGTCCCCTTTTCAACCCTTTTTGGCATTAAAAAAATCAGTTGTCTTTCTCACGCTCTAAAATATCTGTGTACCAAATTTAATTTAAATCAGTTCAGTAGTTTCGGAGTTAAAGCCGGACCGACAGACAGACAGAGTTACTTTCGCATTTATAATATTAGTATAGATTATAGTATAGTTTATTCATCGCACACAAAAATTAAGGTAATATAGAAAAGAACATTATATTTGTACTTAAACATCTGTAAGTTATCATATTTACAAGAAGCCATGATCATAGGGGTCACTAAACGTCGAGCGGTAGATAAAAATATATTAATGAAATATCTTTCACGTTCTAATCCGTTATAAGCGTTTTTGTTGTGTTGCTCTTTTGTTATACCATGTTTTACTTTATTCCTCTTTATTTCAAATTCTTTCGTACTTTTTAAATTTTTTGTTAAGTTTAATTGTGTGACAAATAAATGATTAGACCTCACAATACCCCGTGGTCACCCATGGCCAATTATTAGCAACCTTTACGCATCACCAGCTGAACTAATTACTCTTTTTGCAAATCACCTCTTCCGTTATCGACGAAGGAGTTTAATAATAATAATCATTATGAAAATCGTAATTCATAAATATAAACAATCCGTGGGTATTTTCAGAAAATCTAGGAAATCTTTTGAAGGAATTTTGCATTAATTTATTAACTGGATATAATTTATAACTAAGAATCTTTATATATCCTCAAATAGCAAAAAAATATAGAAAATGGTGATATATCCACATTTATTGGCGAATGGAGTTCAATAAAACATGAAAAATTATAAGCCTTAATCATTATAATAATGTAAGTATTTCACATAAATTCCAGCTATGGAACTCGTTGGCCCAAAGGGAAGAGTCTTCGTGAGTCTCCTGTTCAATACAATGTTTATACTCGGCGGCGTATCTGTCACCGTCCTGTCCTGGTGGCTGCAGAATTGGCGGTACCTCCTGCTCATCATCTATACTCCAGCAATCATCACCTTCTTCTACATCTGGTCTCTCACAGAGAGCTTTCGCTGGTTATTCAGTAAGGGCCGCTTCGAAGACGGCATCAACGTGCTCAAAAATTGCGAGAAATTCAACAAAGTATCCGTCCCGAAAGACCATTACGACCAAGTAGAGAAGCAAGCTATGCAACAAAGGGATGCTGTAAAATTCGAGTCGCAAGAATCTAATCAGTCCACCTTTAAGCAGATATTTTCCTCAGCGCTTATCTGGAAGAGACTGTTTATCTGCTCATTCCTGTGGACGTCGTCTACTCTTGTCTACTACGGTCTTTCTATCAACGCTATAGAGCTATCCGGAAATAGCTACTTGAATTACATAGTTGTAATCGTGATCGAAGCACCGGCGAACGTCTGCAAGTTGATCTGCTTGGATAGATTCGGGAGGAAGAAGGTTATTTCCACTGCATTTGTTTTGACTGGAGTTATACTTATCGCGTATGAGTTTGTACCAGGTACACGTTCTTAATTTTCTTCTATTCGACGTTACTTATTTAAGTGACACAATTAGAGATTTACACTATTTTATTTTTTTCAGGCGGCAACTGGTCTACGACCTTCTATCTGGGTGGCAAGTTCTTCATAACCCTCGCGTACAACTCGCTCTACATCTTCGCCGCGGAAGTATTCCCCACAAACTACAGGACCACTTTGTTGGCTATTTGCTCAACGTTGGGCAGAGTTGGCTCTGCTCTTGCCCCACAGACACCATTATTGGTGAGGCACATTTGATTATTAATTTTTTTTCAAACGAGAAAAATTAACATAATCATAAGAGCAGCTTGATGAGATTTTGAAAAAGTATATATTATAAAATATAGGACTGTAAAATCTAAATAGATTTCTCTGATATGTCTTTGTTTGCTTTACAGTCTAAACTGTACGAGTTCCTGCCAACAATTCTTTTTGGAGTGATGGCGACTCTCTCAGGAATAATAGTGATGACCCTGCCAGAGACCAACAATCAAAAACTTCCAGACTCATTGAAAGATGCGCAGGCACAGGACAGAAGAAATATTATTAGTAATACGAATGAAAGGACTACAGATAATGGAACTAGACTATGACGTTAACCGTATAGTGATGGGCTGTGATTTATGTCGATATTTTGCCATTTGTGTTGTGATTATAAAATACTTACTTAAAAACGTTTTATACAGAACGTTATAGTAAATATTGTATGCTAGGTTTAGGTCTTGTTTGTGTGTTTTTAGTTTAGTTATATCTTACTTTAGTACTGTATAAAATTTTGAGTTAGAGGTCTTTATTTTTAAACGAAATTATAAGGATAACCACATCCAGACCGAACTCCGTATTTAAAAATTATAAGTAATATACAGATAAAGATCGAGGAACGTAATTATTTAATATTATTCAAAAATATTTTTAAGCAAATACAGTATTAATATAATTACCATCAGTGTAAAGATTAATAAACTGTTGTAAGCTGTTTCTATTATAACTATAATGACGTGTAAAGGCAATTTACAACTTCAACATTTGTAAATTATAGCTGGTCCTTATCACACTACAAATGTCTCATATGACAAAAGTTACTTATAATTATATGGTAAAAAACCCAGTGGTCTTGAGGATATTTTAAACCTCTAAGTAAGTGACACGGCAGCTCAATTGGTTAGAACAAAAGCTCGGAGCACTGTGGATGAAGTTAACTTTTTTCAATATAAATCGATTTTCTAACTTACCTTCAAGTTTTTTATTTACTGTGAATTAATATCATATATTACAAACGTCGTTAAAAATAAGTATCTAATTAAATTGATAATTTACAAAATATATGTGATAGTCAACAGATTGTACATACGCTGAACATAGGATATATTAAAAATATCATTAAAATACTATTGACAATTGATGTAACGGTGTATTTTGTTATATATTGAAATTGTACTGCAGAATTATTAGAAAAACATGTACTATATCATTGTTAATAAATTAATTACATTGCCAAAATGATCTCACTGCATTTTATTGTGTATACCGACAAAAACATTTAACTAAAATCGAGTCTAACAGAGCAAATTTTAAATAAAATTTCATAAAAATATCCAACCCTTATTCCAGAGCGAAGTCACGTATATTTTTAATTTAAAACGGTTTACAGCAACTTAGGATATTAAATCTTTCGTTTTGTGTAAAATCGAGATCGTCGTAATTATTCGTCTAAACGTGACTCCATTTAGTGGCACGTGACAAACTTGAAAATGACGGAAAATTCTACGTTATCTGTTTATCGATAACGACTGGTGTCATCACTATTGCTTTTGACATTTTATTTTTGCTCAACTGCTTACATATAATGTTGTTCTTACACAAAAGTTGACGACTATGTATAAGAGTTATACGTTACATAAAACTACATAATAAAAAGGAAAAGAAATCATCCTATTAAATTAGTAAACGCGTGTCTAAAGAAGGTTCAAACTAGTAATTTACAAGTTGACGATATCGATATATAATAACCGGGGTAGCGTCATGCCAAAGTATTTTTTTTAGTAGGCGAAATATAGCCAGCCGAATAACATTATTATAAGATGCGCTGTTGATCTATTTTGTTTGGATATTCGGAAATCCACAGACTGAACCTAATATCTTGATTGTCAGAGTCCAAGATGTATATTGGAGGCGATGTGGATTAAACCTACAATTCGTTGATTAGTATAAATAAATTGCAGCGACTTTGAGAGTCATTATAAGGAATATATCAGCAATATGAGTAGATACCTATAGTTTACGAATAAGAGGGCATTGTTTTAAAACGACAACTGTACCAATAGCCTTTTCATTTATAACAATATACTTTACTAATTAAAACTTGTCTTGTCATGTTGATGTCAAACTTTTTCGTAATTGTGGTTGCGGTTTTGTAAATCAGAAAGACTTTGTCGGGCTTGTTGGTCTTATGAATCAACGGGTCGTGACTTCGATCCCCAAGAGGTCCAACATGTTTCAAATTTTCCTGAAACATGGTGGATTTCGTCTGGCAATTCAATGAGTGGTAAAAATATTGCAATTTCGTCCGGGTCACGAACCACCGCCCACATATGATAAAAGCGTGAATTTTAATCGCATTTCGGTTTCAGTCTATGGATTTTCGCATATACAAAGCCAACATAGGTCGAGAGCATCTTGTGTAGGTAAGCTGGGGTTTTTCATCCCATCAAGTCCCATTCAAACCCCATGCTTTTCTGACCCTCCTCTATCATAAAAAAAAGATGGAGGAATATGGTAGTGCAGTGTTGCCAGGCCATAAAGTAATAAGTTGTTCGAAAAGTCATTTCGTTTTTTCCCGTCAGAGGACTTAATTACGTTTTTTCGAAACCAACTGCACACTTAAGCCGCATAACCATTATATGTCTTAGAAGCTGAGATTGCAAGGCTTGGGTGTGAAAAAGTTCTATTAATTCTACACAGTAGTTTTTGGTTGGTGCCCTTTTAAATATGGAGAGCAATAAGCAGCATTTTCGTCATATTTTACTTTTTTACTTCAGAAAAGGTAAAAATGCTATCCAACCGAGAAAAAAATTGACGAATGTGTATGGAGAAGGCGTGTTAACAGTACGCCAGTGCCAGAACTGGTTTGCAAAATTTCGGTCCGGCAATTTTGATGTCGAAGATGCACCACGGTCTGGAAGGCCGGTCGAAGCCGACAAAGATGCGATAAAGGCGAGATGGCAAAAGGTGTTGGACCAGAATGGCCACTATATAATTTAATAAAATATTTATTCATTATACGGAAACTGTCTTTCATGTTCCCCAAAAAAAAACGAAATGACTTTCCGATCAACCCAATATTACAAAATAATGGTAGTGCAGTGATTCCTACGCGACGTGTCGTGTTAAACACATCTTACTGGTGGTTTCTGCTAGATTTTATTAAAATCAACCAGTTTATTAAATATGATAATAACCAGTTTATTATATATAATGGAGGTGGACCTCTATAGCTCAATTTCTATATTATTAAAAATTACATTGCGAATGTACTACGCCCACAGTTAACTAAGCAGCCAAATACATCTCACACTAACAATAAAATTAGTAGCTACAAATACACCTCGCTAACACCACTAAATATAACATTCCTTATCATAGAACGGCAGTGCAATAATCATAAACGTGGAATTTGCATGCGAGAACACAATTCGGCGACCTGCTATTAATTTTGGACGTGGATTTACCTCGATATGCATAATTCTGTGCTGAATACATGGATGCTTTGAATGTCTTCAAGCGATTTACGACACCATATTGGTGTGATGACAGCACAGATGACGAATGACTTTAATATTGTATTGTGATAATCTGTGCGAATTATCTACAGAGTGATAAATTATTGTACCACTGAATTCTGAAACCGTATCGTTTGGCCTGTGTGCACTTAATATATCTACACAATTTATTGCCTTAGGTTATTCTGTATGTTGTATCTAGTAGATGTGGATAGATGTAATGTTATTTGATGCTAATTTTATTGCGAACAGGTTTAATAGTCAAAATTATAGAAAAAAGTACTTGTAAAAAAACTATATTTCACTGCCACTCCATTCTTATTAGAACAAATAAGTTTGTGTTATGTAATTAAGTAAGCCCAGTAATTCTAGTAGAAAACGCGTACAGAACCCATCGCATATGTCTCTTTCGATATCAATTAGCAGATAGCAAAGATTACTTACGCGCCTCTAGCGGCAAAATGTAAAGATGTCTAAGAACGACACTCCTTTAGATTTACCTGTAGGTTTAGTTTAAATATAATAAGATTGACCATCGTTACATCATAAACCTGTAGTTAATATAAACACAAAAATTGGTGCGTTTCTCGATGTATATCGTTGTATGTATGTATGTGTTGTTCTTAGACAGCTTCACAATTTTGTCACTGGAGGAGCTAGTGAAATCCCTGTCTCGACAACAGACTAGTTATATTTAGACCAATTTAAATAAATATGCTAACAGTAAATTTATACCACATTTATTGACATATTCAACTATCATCAAATACAATTTTTTTACCCTGGAATGGTAATATGGCAGATTTCTTTCTTTTTGCTTCCCATGAAGGATGGAGTTTTTCTGGTTTTTCATCCACTTTATTCTCGCTTTGATTATTAAATTTGCCTTTTTCATCTGAACTATTGTTAAAGTGAAATTTATTAATTGAATTATGCTTAAAATTAGATTCCTGCTCTCTGTATTTAGGATTATCATGGCTGTGATATTTACTATTGAAATCTTTTCTAGGTTTTACTTTGGGAACATGTCCAAACATTACTGCTCTTCTATATTGTCTATTACCCTGTTTATGTTCTTCTTTAACCTCATCTGGTGCCCTCGGTTCAGCTACTGTTAAATAATTATCCCCACTAGCTGTCACAAAGAAAGGATCAACAACCTTTGTGACCAGTGGCAACTCATCTTCTTTCTTTTTAAAGTTCCTAGTAATGATTTTATTGTTAATATTTTTGTTCTTATTTTCTTTTCGTTTGTCTGGTTTCTTATTTTGTATTTTAGCTTTTTCTAACATCTTGGCATGCTCTTTCAAAATTGCTATTTCATTAGTTTTAGATTTATCATCATCATCTAAATCTTTATCATCAGGTGGAGGTCGAACAAACCTTCCCATCTCACTTTCATTTTCATCAATTTCATCTGGAAGGCTATCTTTGTCTGATTCAACTTCAGTTGACTCATGTTCATCTAATAAAGTATTACCTTCATTACTAACATTACCATCTCTGCTGTCACTATCTGATGTATCACTGTCATTGTCTAATATTTCATTGTCATTTTCTATAACAACATCCCAGCCTTCATTTTGACTGATGTTTAGGTTGCTAGAATTTGTTTCAACTTCAATTTTACCATTCTTCTTTTCTTTTTGTTTATTTTTCTTTTCCTTTAGTTTCTCCTTCATCTCTTTTTTAAGTTTCAAGCGTTCATGTCTTGACATAAGCAGGTCATCAATCGACACATTGCCAAATTTATCTCTTATCAATTTGTATTTATCCTGCAAGGCTTTATGTGTAAGAAGTCTCGCACAGGCTTTGTTTTTATCAACTTCAGGTTTGTTGATATATTCAATCAGTTTCCCATTATGTGTCACTATGAATTTTGCAATATCTCGAGGCTTGATTTTCTGAAAGTTAGTATTGGGTATTTTAAATAAAGAGTCTGATTGAATTTTAATTTTCTTCCCAAAAGGGAAATATTATTATTTATTAATAATATTATTCAATAATTATTTTGTTATACAAACCCCAATACTGATACGGATTAGATTGATGTTATATATATAAAGTATAAAGAACTTTATACATAGTTAAAACTAAATAATATCAATCAAAACCTTAAAATACTATTACGAGAACACATTAAAAAATTTCTCAAATAATTCTCATTCTCCCTATAAAAATGTGGTTTGTCAGTCTAGGGATGATTAAGACTGAAGAATTAAAATCATAATTTTCCTAACCTCATGTATGTGAGATATAAAAGTACATTAAACCTTAAGATATACCTTAATAATTAAAACCTCATTAACTGCTGCCTGTGACTTTCTCTTGAGTTTTTCTTTGAGAGTTTCAGGGACCTGTTTTTCGTTCAACACTTTTGCTTTTCTTGTCAATTTGTGAATGACTTGAATCTTTGCTTGATTTAATTTCTTCTTCAAATGAATCACCTGAAATTATAGAGTAAGTGACAATATAAAGCAAAAAAGTCCTATTTTAAATACAAAAACTAATAAATATAATTTATGCCCTTTTGGGGGGGAATTACCTCATTATTAAAGGCTTGTTTAACAGCGCCAACTTCCATTTTCTATTTTCACTATTACAGTATAGTTGCTACAATTTTTGAACTTGTGGATCTAAAAAACCCTTTTTTCATAACCAAATTATTAAAACTAGGTTCATTTGGAGGTTATCTTGCTCGCCGATTATGAATAAAGTAGTCTTACAATGTAAAATACACTAAAATTATAAATTAGATTTTAAAGACAAGATATTACTCCTTAAAAACACATATATTACTAGTAAATTATTTGCAATATTGCGAGAACTTCACAAAGTAAATATTATAGACACTCATGTTCGTAGCATTTGGCATTTGCCAATTGCCATCTATATTTTAACCTCATATTACAACGTCAAGGTTCGTTGTCAATTCTAAAAACATTGACGATATTACTATATGTATTGATGATATTATGTTTACGATTACTAATAATACTACCTCGCACATCAATAAATGTAAATGGGAAAGGACTAAAATAGTTAATAGTTATATTTTTATAGGCGATAAGACTATCATCTTCAATAAAAAGTCTGTGGAGCAGAACAGTCAAGTCGTCAAAAGAATGTCAGTTGTCAACTGCACTGCTGTAAATAGAAATGTCAAATAGATTTCTTTTCAACAAATCTGTCAAAGAGTCAAGTATGTTTAATTTGAATGAATTCAAAATTATTTAAGAAATCATAAAACATTTATGTATAAATTTAGTGAATTTTATTGCGTCTGCGTATAAGTGTGAAGTCTACGTTAAGATTTAATTGCGTCGTTCATAAATAATCTGTCTATTTCAGCATGGCTCCGAGGTTTGAGATTGCCGTCGGTCTGAAAAAAGGCCACAAAACAACTAAGATTTCTGGTGGAAAGAAAGGCATTACAGACAAAGCCATCAGAATTAGACCCGCCAGACTTAAGGGTGTAAGTATTGATCATTGTTTATGTTTGTATTTATGTATGATTAGCAACCTTACATTTATTTATTATTTGTACTTACTTGTATGATATATTGTTGTCTAATGTTTGTTACAGTTAAGATTAATCATTATAATAAACATGTTGAAAATTGTAAAATTATACTTTTCAGCTCCAAACAAAACACTCCAAATTTGTGAGGGATTTGGTACGTGAAGTGGTTGGCCATGCTCCTTATGAGAAGAGAGTTATGGAATTGCTGAAGGTAAGTTAATAAAAATTTTACTTCCAAAAAAATATATTTAAAGCATTTAGAACAGGTATGCACAGACTTATGAAGATTAGAGGCCATTCGGGCAAATCATATCCTGATGGCGAGCTGTCAGAAGTATAATAATTAACGACAAAAAAGAATTGAGCTCAACTTTACTTTATATACATTCGATTTGAATGCTGAAAATTTTATGGTGATTGGAATCTGCCAATATAAGAAAAACCCTAACCTAGTTTTTGAGATATTAATTTTTGAACATTAGGCAGAACCCCGCACAACTTGATTGACTTTATTCTTTCAATGTGTTTTATTCTCTACTGCTCTTGTTTTGGTAACACTCACTTAAAGCAAAATCACTAAGAAGATAGGCCATCTGGTAAAACAAATACATAAATAATAAAATAACAAAAATAAAGACCTATTTTGACAGTTTAAATAGGTTTAAACTAATAAAAACGCGTCAAAAGTGTTTTTGAAGCTAGCAAGCGAAAATTATTCGCCAATCACAAGTATCTTATTCTGAAGTTTTAAAATTAATATTTCAAAAACTAGAAATTTCTGTAAGTTGTAATTTTAGGATTTTTTTTTATATTGGCAGGATCTATCATGAAAGTTTCAACAATCAAATCAAATGCATGTATACTAAAACTGCCATGAATTTAAATAATGAATAAAAATTAAAAAAAAAATATTGAGTATTATTTTTGATGTTGGCCTGTTACCAGTATTTGACCAGCAAGCCATGGTCTGTGCATCTCTGATTTAGCTTGATTAAAAGTAAAATAGGTTTAATCCCCAAACAAATAAATTTGTATGTTGTATATACTTTGCTGTATATTGCTTCTACTTTTTCGTGGTCTCTATAATAGATGTAACTCTTATGAGCTTGATATAAAAATTTAGACACCAGTCTATATTACAGAATTTCCTCATAAGCAGCATACACTTAATGATATAATTTGTGTTTGGATTTCCACAAAACAGAAAATTATTAGTTATGGGTTATATTAGGTGCACGCTGATCATTTTGCCTACCTGAATTGTTTTTCTATGTACATCTATTTGTGTTGGTATTTAAATTCGTGAATTGTACAATGTAACACAAATTAATGTGTATTTTTTTTTAATTAATTTAAAACACTGACTATTAATAAAAATTTATCAGTAAAAGTGGCCCTATCTGTTCCAATAATGAACTCTTAATGCTTATGTAAACTAGAGGATTAATGCTATTTTGTATTAAATGTAAAATTTTCAGGTATCAAAGGACAAGCGCGCCCTTAAGTTCTTGAAGAGACGCCTTGGCACACACATCCGTGCTAAGAGGAAGCGTGAAGAGATGAGCAACGTTCTTGTACAGATGAGAAAGGCTGCAGCACACGCTCATCACGCCCACTAATAAACTATTTTAAGTTAACAAGTATTTTACTGTAATATCCCTGAGTTATCAAAATAGCTGTAACTCCTTTTTTGCAAGAAGATGAAAACTATAAAAAGCTTAATTTTATTAACGCTGATTTGGGGGATGTGTCATTTTTGTGAAACCCCATATTATATCCACTTCATAGTGTCCTACTGAAACTAAATTGCAGTGGTTTTAAATATCCATTTTATCTTGCTTATAACATTTGTTATTTATTTAACAATGATATCAGACTTCTATTGCTATGTTTGCAATATTATATTTGTGTAACAAGAAGTGTTGATGTTCTTTTCCTGAAAGGATCACTTTAAAGTCAAAAAATCATTTATTCATGTAGGTAACTATGTATACTTATGAACGCCACAAAGCTAAAGAAAGCTTTACATTTACTACCAGTTCTCAAATCAAGGGCTTAGAACGAACAACAAGAACTGGCAATAAACTTGTCTTAAAAGTCTATGATTTAAGATATGGAAAAGCCCTGGTGAAAAATAGATGGTAGTAGGTAATGCTTCTAAAATGAATTAATATACGACCTCTCCAGAAGAAATGAACGAATGCTGAGTTTCGATAGCCAAACAACTCGAAAACGCAAATAATTGCAAACTAGTTGAGACAGCATTAGTGTGTCTTAATAACTGAAATCTATAGTAAACAGTTTATTTTGGTAACAACAAATTGACAAATCAGTTATTGTTGTTGATTTCTAATTGACTGAGGCCAGAGATATCATAAACGTAGTATTGCGTCAGGGAAACCATGTTCGTGGTTAGATAAAATTGAAATTTAACATTTTTCGTCTTACACCCCTCCGGTTTGATTGTAACAAAAAGTGATTACATCGGCCATAATTCATAAACCCATAATTTTTACTTATACGTCATTCAAATGAAAGATCAACAAAAGTAAATAATATTTAACTTGTACAAAAAATAACTATTAGTAAAGTATGTATTTAGTATATTTTGTTCTTCAGCAAATCGAACTGTCGCGCTTTAATGAACCGGCGCCAGCTGATAAGTATTGCCATATAAAGGTATAAAACTAAATTAGGCTAAATTTCGTTGGCTCTACGAGATGATAATTTCTATTTTTGTTTGTTTATTTATTTTATTAATATGTGTCGTATAAAACATTTTTTGCTTACTTAAAGTCATATTTAATATAATATAAGCCGCGAAATATTTTTTAGATATTAGCCATCACCATATGGCAGCTGCAAAGGATCCTAAACATCGGGTCTTAGATAAAATAAATTAGAAAATGAGTTAAGTAATTTATGAAAACTTCAATATTTTTATATGTTATTGCACATGAAGGCACTATATAATTTATTTCAAGGTTTAAATGAATAATACTTACTTCTTTAAATAATGAAACATAAGTTTTTTTTTTGTTTAATTAGCCAACGTTTTCACACACAGAAGATAGTGTAATGTTTGGAAAATAAAGAAGTCTATCTAATCTCAGCAGCACTATCTGCAGTTTGAAGCATTTACGTGTGACAACACTATTGGCAAGTGTCGGAGAAGTGCTGATTACGTATTTCTACTAAAGTAAAATATTATAACACTAATTATTACAGTTTTTGTGTACTAACAAACTTAAAGAATATCTCTTGTTAATAAATCACCTGGTAAGTCTTGTATATCGATGGTTATGAAATGGGGTGTATAGGGAAGGTCAGATCAAGGTCGTAGGGTCATAACTTTATTTTGTATAGTTTAAATACTGTTAATAATAATCCTAGTCGTTAGAAACATCGTATACAATACAGGTCTAAACCTTACGCATCTTTGTATTATAATAACATTTTTTTTAGCTTTATGTGTATTTTGATATTCGATAAAAAAGACAACCATATTTTCAGAAAACTGTAAAAAATGGGTCGCAAATTTGTCGTTGGAGGTAACTGGAAGATGAACGGTGACAAGAATCAAATTAACGAAATTATTAACAACCTGAAGAAAGGTCCCCTTGACCCCAATGCAGAGGTCATCATCGGTGTTCCTGCAATTTACTTGGAGTATGTTCGAAGCATTGTCCCAGACAATGTTTCGGTAGCAGCCCAAAACTGCTGGAAAGTCGCCAAGGGCGCTTTTACAGGCGAAATTTCCCCAGCTATGATCAAGGATGTCGGGGCCAATTGGGTTATCCTAGGACATTCGGAGAGAAGAACAATCTTTGGCGAAAAAGATGATCTAGTTGCAGAGAAGGTGGCACATGCTTTGGAATGTGGATTAAAAGTCATTGCTTGCATTGGAGAGACATTAGAAGAAAGAGAAGCTGGTAAGACAGAAGAAGTTGTATTTAGACAGACCAAAGCCTTATTGCCAGCTATTGGTAATAACTGGGACAAAGTTGTTCTAGCTTATGAGCCAGTGTGGGCTATTGGTACTGGAAAGACTGCAACCCCAGCTCAGGCACAGGAGGTGCATGCATCGCTCCGTAACTGGCTATTGACAAATGTGTCTTCAGAAATAGCTCAAGCTGTCCGTATTCAGTATGGAGGTTCTGTGACAGGTGCAACTTGTAAGGAGCTAGGTGCTTGCCCAGATATCGATGGTTTTCTTGTCGGTGGAGCGAGTCTGAAACCAGAGTTTGTTGACATTGTAAATGCTACAGCATAATCCTCTTATATTCCAATAATTTGTGTTCAGTTTCCTAGAAACACATAGGGATCTAAAACAGGTCCTTGTTACTCATTGAAATTATGTTGTACATAATAAGTATAATTTAATATAAATTATTTATTACAAAGAAAAATTAAAGTTTCATATTGAGTTACATGTTTTTATTCCTTACTTTGAATTAAATCTATGAGCTAATATTTTTGAATGTAACGTTTGTGTTCAAAGGAAACAGAAAAGTCTGCAAACATCAATACAGTTTTTGAACACTGTTAATAAAGTCCTGATTGATGTACTTTTTTTTCAATTACATACTTTAAATCAACACATTTATTTGGATCTCAAAATATGTCCCGGACATTTCTAAAACATTTTTAATGAGGTATAATCTTTTATACCCATTTGGGTAGTTCGAACCATTGCAGCGCACACAATGGACGACTTCATATATTAATGTTTTTCGTTTTTCACACCTGCTTAAGGTTATAATACAAATAATAATAAATAAATAGAATAATAGTTACTGAGATTAGCGTGGTCAAAAAATCATACTCTTCAGCCAAACTCACACCATCATTCAAATTAGATATACTGAAATCGTACTGCATTACTACACAACAAACCGTTTACCACTGAATTAGTTTTAATTGTGATTAATTATGTAGATACAGGATATAATAATTAATGTACAATAGTAAAATTAAAGTTATAATCGTGTCATTAGAAATCAGTATCCTGTTCTTAATATGCAATACAAAACTACATCCGTAGTTTGACGTTTTTACATAATATATGCATACTATTACATCTACTAGTCGTATATATAGCAAATATGAATATTTAATGTTTCTATCTATAGCATTATTTATTACCGTTGTTTTCAGAACTTCAAAATCAGTTTATATACATATGTTTATTTACTACTATTTATACTATTTCTACGTTTAAACAACTACGTATTAAATAAACGAATATTTATTTTAGACCCCAGCTTTCTTATAAAATTGGATATAGAAAGTGTGATAATTCATACATTATTTAAACACTAAATCCTTCTTATTACTAAAAATTCTGAAAGATGGTAATTTCAATTAAGTTATTTTTTTCTTGTTTTTAGCTTATTTCTTTTAATAATTATAAATTCGAAGCTTTAACCTCTATAGCTCAAACCGGAAATCGAATTGTAATATTAAATTTGTTACTTATGTTCTTGTATCATGACGTAAGTAACTAATAAAACATCAATGACCTCGCCACAATACCATTCTGTCACAAACTACCGCGTTCAAATTTGTGTGTATTTAAGATGCCTTATTTAAATTAGTATTTACTGCTTAGTACTTTAATACAGATGTCCTATAAGTTGTCGAGGCAAGAACTCCAAAATAGCAAGTATTCTGATACTGTATGTAGCAAGACAAGATTTACGGGCCTAATTTCGAAATTCAACCTAGATCAACGGATTCCCTCTATGGAAGAAGTATATTACTTTTAAGGCCCTTGATTTTCTTTAAATATATTTGTAACTTCAAAATAACATTTTTTACGTAGAACATTCATTTCACATATATAATTTTTTATCTCTCAAAAGTTAAGTCTCTAAAATCGTGATAGCATTATTGATTATTCACGTTTCCTTTGGCCTTTTAAAAGTGTTTTACATTACGGCTTGTTAAAATTTTTGTGTGGAGTTGAAAAAAATTTAGGTTCTCAATTCATATAATTGCTTTTTAAAAATTTAAATTTATTAAGTCTATGTATGTACTATTCTTTTCAATTTTATAAGCCATACACACGAATAATATTATTTATCGTAAGGTATAACAGTTGTATGAATAATGATCTATTGTCATAAGCGGTTTGAGGACTATCTTGTCACTTATTATTTATGATACAATTCTATACTCCGTTGCTATTATAAAAGATAGGATATTTGCTTACGTATCAAGTGTACAAACATACACTTTGCATCATAATACGAAACCGACCTCGGGTCAAGTAAACTGATATCGCTATGATGAAACTGATTAGTTTGACGAAAATACATTAAAATGTTTACCAAGAGGTATGCGATATGATACAATTCGGTACCTACTTCTTTAGAAAATTAATTATTCCATGAAAAATACATTACGTAATGGGAAATGAAGTTGATTAACGTATATTTTCCGAGACAAATAATTCAACCTTGAATTTAGTGTCTTTAAAAATAGTCCTTATCGTTTGGCAACTTTTTAACCATGTCTTATGTGTCCCAATTTAAATTTTAGTGACGTTTATTGAAATAAAACTACGGAAAATGTGGAAATTGCTCTTTTTATTATGTAATTCATGGATCAAATATATAGATTGTCTATAAATTTAGAAAAATCTATTACAATATACAATTAAATTTTGTCTTTCACTTGTGTCTACAGTGTCCTGAATATATACATATAAAACTAAATTTACCACAAAATATATTTTGATTTCTGTATGATTAATGAATTTAAAGATAGTCTTTGAGCTGAAGAAATAATTATTTTTAATTACTTAGCCCAAAAACACCACCTATGTCAACATATCTACCATATTAGTGTTGAAATCAATAAAATTGATTTTATTAAATGGTTGATATGATACAATGTTTATATTGACATTTGACCTACCAAGTACGTATTAGGAGTGACACTAAACAAAATGTCTTTTTAAGATAAAACTTAATATTCACAAATCTATAAACTTTTTTAATGTAATTAAAACAAGGAAACAGCTATCAATATGCAAAATTAAATTCATTGAACAACATGTAATTAGATATTTCAATACATTTAGACGTTACATTTCACTTTACACTGTAAAAAGCTGTATCCAATATCACAAGATTTGTATGAAAATATAATTATGTATGCTATATTAAATTTAGTATGCTGCACTATATAACCATGACATATACTTTCATTAGTCTAAATGAGATTACAGCTAAAACTAAATCTCCCATACATCATTATTATCTTGTCCAACATTAATAAATATAACGACACACATCATTCAGCTTTAATATTTAAAACAGCGTAGTATGTAGATAACCTTGGTTATTTGTTTAAGATTTGATTACATTTTGAGCTATCAAACAATATATTCCCCAGTATTTTAAAAGAAGTAACAATCCATAACATACTTAAGATATTCTATATGATAAAAATGTGTGTCAGCATTTTTATTATTGTTATCACTAGATAATAGTGTCTATAGCGACTCGATATCCAACAATCATATTAATGTCATAGACCTTATTCTATGGGAAAAAGAAATATATTAACTAATATGGAACATTAGAGAACAAGTATGACACAGACTCCCCGTTGTGTGTGCGTCGAACAGCCTCTGCCAACATCATAGATACATCAATACATTGAATCTTGGGGCAGTCTTGCATATGTCTCTCTTGGGGTATTGTGTTTGTGACCACCACTGCTTCCAAACATGCATTATTAATCCTCGAAATAGCTGGACCAGAGAAAATTCCATGAGTTAGAATTGCATATACTTTAACTGCACCAGCCTCTATCAACTTTTCAGCAGCGTGGCAGATTGTTCCACAGGTATCTGCCATGTCGTCAACCAAAATAGCTGTACGGTCTTTAACATCACCAACAAGAACCATAGACGCGACTTCATTAGCTTTTTTCCGTTCTTTATGAATAAGGGCAAATTCGACATTCAGTCGATCAGCAATTGATGTCACTCTTTTGGCACCACCGGCATCTGGAGAAACCACAATGCTCGTCTTCCAGTCAGGAATGTTCTCCTTTATCCATTTTAGAACCGCGGGTTCTGCAAATAGGTTGTCTACGGGAATATCGAAGAATCCTTGAATTTGCGACGCGTGTAGGTCCATAGTAATGATATGATCAGCGCCAGACACTGACAATATGTTGGCCACAAGTTTGGCCGTTATGGGAGCTCGGCTTTTATCCTTTTTGTCCTGTCTGGCGTAAGGAAAACACGGTATGACAGCGGTTACCCGGGACGCGGATGCGATTTTACATGCGTTGATCATAATCAACAACTCCATAAGGTTATCGTTGATTTCACCACTTCCACTTTGCACGATATACACATCTTCACCGCGAACCGACTCGCCGATCTCCACGCACGTTTCCATGTTGCTAAACTTTTTGGTTACAACTTTACCCAAATCAATCCCTAAGCGGTCCACGATTCTTTGGGCCAAATCCGGGTGGGAACTTCCACTGAAAACCTTAATGTTCGGCATCCTGGTTGCTAGGGGTGACGGGAGATTATCTAATCTATTTACTACTTCTTCTAGTATAATAGTAGATTTCATCAGCACCGGAGAGAATTGATCTCCGGTCCGTCGCTAGCTGTATCTGCGACGGGAATAAACTTGTCAACTATTTATGCGTGTCTAATTTATGATAAGATTTATTATAATAACGCGGAGGGCCTCGCGCTGCGCTGTAAAAACGCTTTTACGCGCTGTATAACCCGCACGCACGTTTTTCTAATTTTTTATTGAATGAATACCTGCTTATGTCAAGACAAGTTTCAAGAACCATAATAAAACACAGAACAATTTGAGCATTGAGTGAGACCCAGTGTGACCAGTTATATTTTAGCCCTGAGCGGCGAAAAATCGTACGTTAAACTCAATAAAATGTATTTATATGTCTAACCACAAAAACGTTACATCATAACAAAGATAGATCGTTAGACAGCAATTAACGGTTAAGCCAAAATCCAATTTATGGAAAACGTTAAAAGATAATTTTCCCATAATGTGGCGATGAGTATAGTTATAGCAACTTCCCTGTATTTTATCTATGGTTCCCACCGTTCTTTACAAAATTCTAATTGTATTGGTTGTATTATGGATACTAAAATGTCAATTTGTGTGGAAATGCCTACGGTAGTCCATATTAAATAGTCAGCTGCAAGCAAAAATTACAACATAAACAGCGCAATGAAAGAAATTTCGAAAACAATAATATCAATCAGTATCAGACATGAACAAGATTGATTTTGTATATTCCTTGTTGAGTGTTCTAAATTAAAAGTGTGTAAAAAATGCCATATATTCGCTTTAAAGTGCACACATCACATTGCACATATATGATGTTACTATAATATTATTGCTGAAAAGCTTTTGTCTTTATCTTTACTATGAAATAATGGAGGAAACGATAATAAAATCACTTGGTTCAAAAGAAAGGATTATTCGGTGTGTGAATTGGTTAAAAGAGCAGAACGACCCTAAAAAACTTTCGCGGCAAAATAAAAATGACATCCAGTTTATAATTGAAACTAACGCGCATAGGAAGAAATTTTTCTTGACAGCGGAAGATGATGCTACCGTCCCGCCGGGGGTTGATGAGGTAGAACTAGAACCCAAGGTTGTGGTAAGTTTTCAAACAACCTTTTTATATTTACGATTGTACCTAGGTATTGTAATTATTGCATTTTTATAAGAAGTTGTTAGTGTTTTCTAAACTTAATATTGATGTTTCTTACTTTCTTTATACACATAAGTAATGAAATGGCTTTGAAACTGTGTTTATCATTAAAATCTCATTCAATGTTTAATCTTATGTTTGTAATTTTTCTTAAACATAAATTCTTAAAAGAATCAACAATTTTATATAATTATTTAATTGAATTTAATGATGCACACATTTTAAAACTGCTGGACTTTAATATTATGTTTTTCTTATTTTCAGCCCCTTAGGTATTTGCGAACTGAAAGATTGTGCTTAGAATGTGAGTGGCCGTCATGTAAAGAATTCTTTTCGGACTACACTGTCTTTCAGGCCCATGTAGCTAGGCATTGGACTGATGTGACAGTTATAGAAAAAGATGGGAATGGTATTATGACTTTTACAATATTCATATTTATAAATATCAACTCTTAACAGTTTAAATAAAACACTTTAACAGTTTAAAACGCGGCCCAACGTTTTGGATGCTTTGCAGCAGCCATGGTCACGGGGTAACGTCGGGCGGAAGTTAAAAATCATTTTCAAATAAGTTTAACTAATATATCGCGTTTTAAACTTTTCGTTAAATGTTTTATTTAAATGTGTACTACTGTAAATAAGACAATCTTAACAGTTTGTTAATTTTAAGAATTAAATACGTTTCAGGATTGGATGTATACTTAACTGTTAGACCAAGGGCATGGTGTTTTTTAAGTCATCCATTTGGTTAAAAAAAAATTCCATCCATTCTATTACCGGATGGAATGGATGAATTTATTTAATACCTTCTATACTATATAGAATAATTAGAAATTAAGAAAATTTAATGTTATTTTTAAATTTCCTTCATGACTTATAATGATATGTAACTCCAAAGTTGTGTATCAAAGCTTGTAGCTTATGAGTGTTATCTTAGTAGGTTTTTCTTACTTTTCAGAGGAGTATGTATGTCTTTGGGATGTCTGCGGCCACAGAACAACTGATAAGCTACAGATGTTACGTCATATACACTATCACGCCTATCACGCTAAATTATTAGCCATTGGTTTTAATGCCAGAGCTACACTGAAATTGGAACAATGCAAGAAAGACTCTACCAAGAGGAACCAACTACCACCTCTCTTAGGAGACTTTTGTTGTATGTGGTTTGGATGCAAAAAATTCTATTATTCTATGCAGGTATATAAACTAGCCTAATCTGTACTTTTATACTAATATATAAAGCTGAAGAATTTGTTTGTTTGTATGTTTGAACACGCTTACCTTAGGGACTACTGGTTCGAATTCAAAAATTATTTTTGTGTTGGTTAGAGCATCTATTGAGGAAGGTATAAAACATAGCGCTGTGACTAATACGAGCGAAGAAACTTCATCCTTGTGGGTTTCTATTGCGTACACGAAGTCTGCTACAGTATATCTCTCTCTTTTAATATTAGCCTGCAAGATCGATGGAACGCGGACGACGTCGTGGGTAACTGCTTAAATTTATAAATTTTAACAGGAGGTTTGCAGAAACAAAAATTGATACCCAAATTAACTATTTTATGCGTACGAAGTCGCTAGTATCTCTATTATCTATTCCCCACTTTTTAATACTTTTGCTAATTCTCAGGCGTTCCTCGACCATGTGAAGACCCACGTCGATGCGTGTATGAAAGACGAAAGGATTTGCTCATGGGCAGGCTGCGGCGCCAAGTTCGTATTGATTTCGTTGCTGCGTACGCATGTGCGCGTCCACACGGGCGAGCGTATGATCGCTTGCTATCATTGTGGTACTCATTTTGCACTAAATCGGAAGCTTTGCGACCATTTGTTGAGGCAGGTCAGTTGAAAAGGACATTAGGGGACAGTGTGAGTTAGACTCAATTGCAGTTGATATATCTGGGGACAGTGGCGAAACTATAGGGTGGCAAGTCGGCAAAATGCCACGGGCCCCCAGACCAAAGGGGAAGGAAATCTCAATTGTTGGTTCAGCTTATTTTTATATTGGGGAAGTGGGAGGGCCCATTCGATGAATTTGCCACGGGCCTCAAACGGTATAGTTACGCCACTGTCTGGGGATAAATTAAATTAAGTAAAAATAAAGTTCTTGAAATAATAAACAATAGATAAATAAAATGCCATCATGTGAAAAATTTGTTAGAGTAACAGCACGGAATGCTTTGGATGCCGGTTCAAGTCCAGCCCGTGTCCTAAATTTTTTTTAATCTAAAATCGATTTTTAATTTTAATAGTACCTACTTGGGGTGTTCATAAAATACATCGGCGTAATAGACTCAATATTTTTTTTTACACTTTATAAGGGAAACCCTACTTAGTTATTATAATATTTTCGGATATGCAGCATAAATACCTGAGACACGAATTTCTGTAGTTATATAATTTTAAATTGCAAGTATAACACTTGCATAAGTGTTATAATACTACACCACACAGTATATATATTTTTTATGTTACAAGAGTACAGAATAGCATTTAAGCTATTTTGGCTTTGGATATTCGGAAATCCACAGACTGTAACCGAAACGTGGTTAAACTTCACGGCTTTTTCATTTAACATCTAGATTTCCAATCTAATTCCAATACGGACTGTATTCCTCGATATTAGAATTCTGGATTAGAAACAGTTATAGAAACATTAAAAATTGTTCGACTCGTTGATTTTATATCCATACTTTACCATTACACCAACTACTTAGCCCATCAATATATATTACATGTCGAAATTTAATTACAATTTTTTTTTGCAGAATGTAGACCCAGCTGCAGGTCACCAATGTTCTATATGCGGGGAATACTTCGCCTCCGATTACCTGTTACGCGAGCATGTTCGCCGCCACGTATCGTGTTACGCGTGCACGCTGTGCGACATGTCGCAGCCGACGCCGGCCGATCTAGCACATCACGTTCGCTACAGGCATATGGCGGGCGAAGATGCGCGGCGTCACATGTGTCCACATTGCGAGTACAAGTGAGTTAAAATACTGGTACTATACACTACAAGGCTAGCAAACACACCAAAATGAGCATACAGTACTTATGACGAAAAAAATCATGCTTTACTTCTGCTTTTGATCAGTATTCATCTAATCCCATATTTAGTACAGATACTAAAAATATCATCTTTCCAAAAATTGCTACAGGTACAATTATTTATGGAGAATACTTCAAATTTTGTTTATTTTTTGTTTAAGTTGTAATTTTGGTTATTTTATGTTTTTTTTTAATGATAGAGGAGGACAGACTAGCATGGGGTTCATTTGATAGTAGATGAAATACCCCAGCCTATAAATAAAGCGCTGTCGACCTATTTTGGCTTTGGATATTAGGAAATCCACAGACTGAAACTGAAACGTCATTAAACTTCGCGGCTTTTTCAGCTGTGGACGGTAGTTTGCGACAGATTCCCCTTTACGAAGTCCAGGCGACGTCGAACATTTCAAAAAAATTATAAATTGATAAGAAAAATGTTGGACCCGGTTGGGATCGAACTCTTTAGCCGTACCCATTACACCAACGAGCCAGTCACAACATTTAGCAAAAACGATTAAACCATTATTCTTTTACAGGGCTGTTACAAAGTCCGATCTACGCACGCATCTCGTCGTACACAACCGTAAACATAAATCGAAAAACAGCTCCGACGAGTCAGATGGCGAAGTAAAGAAAAAGAAGGTCGCCAAGAAATACATATGCCATATGTGTCCGGAAGGCAAAACTACGATATTCGCCTGTGGGGCCAATCTTACTAAGCATCTGGTGAAAACGCACGGGGCACAGTGGCCGTGCGGTCACAGTCGATTCAGGTGACTACGATTCTAGTATTTTTAGTATTATTAACATAATTTCGTCATAAAAAGAAAACATACATACGAAATAGGATCTATTGTTTTTTTATAAATTCGTTCAAATGCTGTAAATCCATACTCCAGGTATCAAAAAAGCGAAGATGGCATGTATAGGCTGACGACGACACGTTTCGAAGTCCTAGAAGTTTCTAAAAAGATTGTCGACGGCTACCGCGGCCCTAAAGCTACTCTTACTAACAAGTACGAATTTGAAATTTCAAAAGTTTCTGAATGCACTGCTACCACTCCTAGGAAATACGAAATAAGTATAAAAAATACCACGACACGAGACGATGAGCATGAACAAAAACAAGAAAATCAATCAGGAAAAAACCACAAGGATGATTTAAGAAAAGCGAATAGACTAAAAGAGTCCGAAAGAAAGACTACAAAGAGAGTACCAAAGAAGAAAACGGTTAAGAATTCAAAGAAAGCACCAAGGAAAAAGATAAATAAATCTGATAGCGAAGAAGATCTAGCAATACCTCATCAAGATTGTCAAATCAAGGAAGAAGTTAGTCAATCATATGAGACTGAAGTAGAATCAGAGTTAATCGAATTTGAGGAAGACAAGGCAGATGTTAAGAAAGAGATTGAAACTTTGGAGGTGTATGTTGATGAGTCAGAGTCGGACAGTGAAGTGAAAGTAGAAAATAACGCGTTGGAAATTGAAATGTGCGATGTAGATGAATTTGGTAACATAATTAATACAGCGCTCATACAATCTAAGATTGTCTACAGTTAATAAGACAAAACTGATAAATTAATTTTGGATGATTGATAGATATTTGTGTCTTAAACCATAATTCCTAGTTATGATTGGCTGTGCACATAATGAGTGCAAAGTATGGGAGGAAAATAATTATTTCAGTGATTTATAAGATTTCTAGGTACTTGTTTTAAGTACTTTATGAATTATAAGTATAATATTAGATTTTCGAATTTTTATAAGTATTTTATTCTTTATCACTATTATTACTTAGTAAGTCTGGTTATATAATTCACAATTACTGTCCATATTAAAATCGTATTATGTTAGTACCTACAGGTTAACAAAGAAACGATAAACATTTTTCACATTATTTTATTAACAATACATTGGATTATCATACAAAATAGTACATTGTATAGAATACATAGTATAAGGGAATAGTAGTTTCTTGGTAGAAATCGTGTAATAAAAATCATTTTTTGAAACTCGCTATGAGCCTATCTGCCTCTCTGAAGCCTGCTTCAATTGCTCCATGAACAGCGGAAAATCTATGGTGCGAAGTAGCTTCTCCAGCGAAACAAACGATTGGAATGTTTTCGCCATAATACAATGGTTCGCTGAGAATGATGGCGCTACCACCTCGCTCTTCATTGGCAACACTGCGGTACGAATACGAACCTCGCACTAATTTATTAGACGCCCAATCGGTTCTGCAAAACGAAATGTTTGACAATGACATACTTTTGACATTTGACAATCTATTCTATAGGTATATTGTGTCAAGACGGAAATATGTCAAACGCAGCTTTGCAGCAGCCGTGGTCACGGGGAGACAAGTCTGTGTACTACTCGCGTAAACTATAGACAGTATTTAATTCAGAGATACATAAATATTATTTTTTAATATACAAATCAAAACCACAAAGATTTTAAATATGTTACAGAGCTACCAGCCAAGTATTTTTAATGACACGTTGTTTTGCCAGTTGAGGTCTGTTGTGGGTTCAAGTTTGACTTTCTGTGCAATAATGTTTCACATAATTCCTAGAACATTATCAATTCGTCATTATAATTCAATTTACCTTGTAACGCATTTAACAGGGGCCACACTGAAACTCTTCTTAAAAACAACATTTAATAGTTTTTCTACTCCAACTTTCACCTCTTCTACGGTCAATTTCTCCATTTTCTCAGCTGCTGTGCCATAAATCCATGCCAGTAACACATTAGGATGATACTCAACGGTATTAAACCCGGTTATTTCAGTAATCCACTGCTCTTCTTTATTGAACTTTGCTTTGTCCTCTTCCCGCCATATTATAGTAAAACATCCGGGCGTCTGCGGCCACCAGGGCTTGGTGAATTCTATATAGATTTTATCAAGGACACAAAGTTGGAGATTGTTGATGGAGTTTATTTTTTCAACTGGCAACTGAGGTTTGAAAAGTTGGTGATGTCTAAAATAAAACATATATCTAAGTAGTATTTAAGTTATTACAATAGATTGTATTTTGGGCGATATTATCTGTGGTATAATATGATTGCCATATACTGAGTATATATATTAGTGAGCTTAGCTTATTAATGGGACGAGGTAAAGATTTTATAGCCATTAAATTGCAATACTTTTACCTCTCTTTAAGCACACCAAGAGAAACAGTAACTATAACACTCTTAGCAGAGTAAAGGCTTCCATCTTTACACTTTACATGTACGAGAGGGTTGCCAGCCTGTGGCGACCGCCATTTGATCGTTTCCACCTCTTTCTTGAAATGTATTTGAACGGGCAGCTCCTTTGAAGCGTCAGGATATTTATTCTGAAAGAAATGAATTATTAATTTGTGTGTTACGGAGATTTTTTGTCAGAGAATGAAAGCATCGTCAGACTTCACTTTCGGCTTGGTGACTTTATTTTCATCGTTAAGCGCGGGAGATCCTGAGTTCGAACCCCTGGTAAACAATAGATCCGACCATTGAGACGAACACAGAAATGTGTACGCCCCATTCCCCGTAAGGGAGAAACGAGATGTCAGTTATTTCGGTTTTTTTATTAGAAAGGTAATCGTTACCAAAAGCACGTCTAGAATAGTTCTGTACCCTCTCCCCTTCCAGTTGAGCATAAATTCCCCTTCACAGCACCAGCTCTCTCCTAAACCCTTCAAGGACTTGCCGTGGCTGGGGTCAGTTTGTCCACCGACGTGGTTGTTCTTCTCAAACCATTCCAGGAACGATAGGGATAGTTTGGGGTCACTTTTTAATATTGAATCGGTTTTGAGTCTAGAAAAAAAAATAGGCACTAAATCAGACTTATTCATTAATTTTTTACTCGTATCATGTTTTTTTTTTACAAAATGGTATCAGTTATTGTTTTTATCTTTTATATCTATACTAATATATAAATCTGAAGAGTTTGTTTGTCAGTTTGAACGCGCTGTGACTGATAGGAATGTGACTGATAAAAGAAAAAGCGGGAAATATGAAAAAACCGGGGGAAATCGCTGTAAAAATGGTTCAAGATACTCAAAAATTAGCATGGAAGAATGATTCCCCTTTAAATGATCCAAAAGATTACCGCGACTTTATATGTCTATCTTTAAAGATTATCTTGCTAGAATGACGGGCCGCGATCAACGTCGTGGGTAACAGCTTAAATGCATAAAGATGAAGAGGAGGTTTGCGCATCTAAGCCCAAAATTAACTATTATTCGCGGGCGAAGTCGCCAACATAGGTAGTTAGTCATATTTAATGGATTATTAATATATTCCTTAAAGAACAATGTCCAAAACGCACCTACCTGACGAAGACCAGATATGTCTTATGTATTTAAAAAAATCCGTTTATTTTTTTTATTTCAGGAAACTTGAATAACTCATTTTAAATAATAATAAAGCCAGGAAAAAAGATGGATTATTCTATCAAATACGATATTTTTCAATCTGTTTGTTCAGAAGGCATTATTAGAGTTCATATACCGAATTAATCATTAGATAACGTTAATAACAACCATAAACAATGATTTTTTACCTTTATTTTTTGCTTTTTATACGTAAAGAGGAAGTAAAATTATTCGGATTATTTGCGTGTAACGGAACGAATTGTCATCGACGCGCCTTTTGCTGAAATTGCTATTACACTTACGCCTTCCTAACACACTCAGACACTGAATGAGTGGTGTTCTTATCTGCCTTCGAGACTGCTTCGTCCAACGCCCCAATAATGCCTTCACTCAAGTCAGACCTCAAGAGCTCTCCACTCGACTGCACGTACCACTTGTGGTCGGGTTTCGGTCGTCCCAATAAACCTAGTGGGTTCGCTATTTCGTACACTATATTGTCCTTTTCACCGTGGCACCTGTGATGTAGAGGAATAGGGGGCAAGTATTATTAATTTGTCTTGAATAGTAAGTCTCTAGTTTACACAAGTAATACACAATTCAATAAAACACTTTAACGGTTTAAAACGAGAATGATATTAGTTAAACTCATTTACAAATGAACTTAACTACGGTCCGACGTTTCGGCATCAGCAGTTGCAGTCACTCCCTGACGACGGCTGCTGCAAAGCATCCGAATATAATAATTTGTACACAAATCAACTAATATGTGTATTCGCGTTTTAAACCGTTACAAGTGTTTTATTTCAATTATTTGTCTTGATTTATATTTCATGGTAGGTATTAAAAGTCGTTACCATGCAGCTCCAAGATCCAAATAGCAGTCGCCATATTGAATCGTCTTGATTCTTCCTCCGATCCTGTCTTCAGCTTCCAGACCTATGACCTTAAGGCCGGCTTCGTGAAGCTTCCTCAGCGCGGCGACACCAGACGCCCCACAACCGATTACTATTACATCCATTATCTGTCTAAACAATAGATATAGATAATAATTGTACAGATCTAGTCTGTAGTTAACATAATTTGAATTAGGCCTGGACTTATTTTGGCGGGATTTTAAAAAGTAAATCGATAACAGCGGGCAACACTGCGAATCGCTAACAGTACAAGATAATCGATATAAATAAACCATTAACATGTAATTCGATTAATACTCTATCATAATCAAGTTTTTCATGATAACGTCACGTTAAATCAATGTAAAATTATAATCGCATTAATTTCACATTATGTGGGGTTCAATATTCTAAGATGACAGGATAGTTCCTGTATTATGGGGATTGTCGTTTTTGTCGTCTACCGGCTTGACAAAGCATCCTTATAAGTTGGCAACACAAAGTTCTTGGAATTCTAATCTGCTTAGTTTAAGGCTCTAGGGTTTAAATTTCACTCTAGTTTATCTTGGCGAATATAAGTGTATTGCATCATTGTATTGAACATTTCCGACTTAAAAGGCTTTTTATAATTGTGATGCACCGAAATGTGTTTAAGTTATAATATTTTGCATATGTAAGATCTCTTTTATTATTATTAATAGGTATTTTTTTAATCTCTAATTTAAAATGTACACAATTTTTTATTAAAAAACAAACTTTTTTTAAATAGTGTGGCCTGGCCTACCTTTTTAGTTTCAAAATGAGAAATTATACCCATAATTGAATGTGAGTTTTTATATAATGTCTATTGGAATTCTTTACAATTTACCCTCACCTTTTGTAAAAGTCGTACCTACGGATTTCGTATTAGGTATATATAATATTTTACGTATCAGACGCATCTTATACTGAGATATAACAAAACAATGATATAGTCTAATCATTTATTGAATATAATGCTTGATTGATAATACACGAGCATGTGCTCATTCATATTGTTATAACAATATTTAAAATAGTAATAACATATCTTAACTGTTTAGGCGAACGAAGTTAAAATAGACCCGGTATAATGTAATTAAACAATTCAAATAGGTCTTTCAAGGCCAACAACTATTTATATGTATAATAATTAGATTCTGCGTAACGTGACTTAAGTTTTTTAGGATATTTACAAAATTACTTACGACATTTCTTAATAATTACGAACACCAATAAACAAACTCGAAATATTTCACACAACCATCGCGAATTGAGAGTAAATAGACACTCAAATGCCAACTTTATCGCCTTGACCTCAAGAATTACGTAATTGATAATGGCTGCTTAAAAATGTGTGTATCTATATGCATCGTGTTATAAATATTGATAATTGTGTAGAGAACACTTATGCACTCAGTAGTCCACAAGAAAACTGAAAAACCTTAGATTTATAATTGGCCCTCTTGGGGACCAATACCAATCAGATATTTTAGGGTTTTCCACTTGACTGTGCGTCTACCAGACTATCTTATGCATTTATTTTAATTGTTTAATTATGTGACAATAATAATTAAATAACTAAAATTTTTCGCTTTATTAATATTTAATTCCAAAATAACAATGAAACGATGAAATCAGTTGTAGAGATAACTTTTTTACGCGAGGTCGACTCGCACTTGTCTTATTTTGAACACAGGTGAACTTAAACCATATATAATAACATTTAATGTAGCAATGTATCACTATTGAGCCCTATTGGTTCCAACGTTTTTCTAATCAATTTATAATTTTTCTGAAACATATTGGATTTCGTCTGTAAATCTGGATATTCAATGGGTGGATGGAATATTCACATTTCATAAATATAACACTTGTACTTATGTTTGATTATTAGTAGAGTAAGTCGGTTCAATCAAATTCTCACTTCGCGTGTGTAAACAAGTACTTACATAGAAGTTCGCGCCGATCAAGACATCGCCTCGCTCTCATCTTCTCGTAGTTTTGTCTTATTACTACCCATTCATTAGCATAGTTAGAATTTTATTAATTGAAATTTTCAAAAAGTTCCCAAAAAACGAATAAATACTTTTGGATTAACACTGTCGTTTTAATTATATCTAACTCAATTTGTTTTTCTTAAACAAAGTGTACTTGTTATCAAATAACAAAGTATAACCGAGTTATTCGGCCGAGTGCGAGTATTATACAATCCGCCGAGTACTCGGCCCATCTCTAATTACTAGCCTTACACTCCATTAGGACAACGAGACCGTCGAAGCGAGTAGATTAAGCAGAGAGTCGATTCCAGAGTCGTTGTCCTGTCAATCCGTTGCAAGGTTCAGACAGACATACAAACGGAACGAGGTGGTAATATGTCATGTAAATAATATCCTCGTTATATAAAGCAATGTTTGGTTTACCGCGACACGAAGTAGACCAGCAGCATTCTTTTATACCTCGCCTGTCCTGCTATGTGACGTAGATGAATAGGGTGTTCATAGTTTTGTAAAGAACCAGGGTAACATATAAAAAGTTGAAGACACGTAACGCGTAACGTAACAGTTAGACAGCACGGAACGCTGTGGATGCCCGTCCGAGGCCTGCCTGAATCTATTTTTTTTGAAACGTAACGCGTTCATCGTTCGTCTGAATCTTAAGATGTATGTAATGTAATGATTTTGATGTTCGACAGCTTGGAACGGTGTGGATACCGGTTCAAGTCCTGCCCGTGTCGTAAAAGTCCCGGGTTTGAATACCGAGGACACAATAGATTGTTTCGTTGAAACGGATACGGATATATGTTCAAGAGAAAACGGCATTTCACGTTATTACATACATGAGGTTATAGTAAAAAAATCTCATATGTTCCGCGATGATGGTAACTCTACATTAGATGCATCGTGGCGGACAATGTCCTTTCAATGACGTGTAAGATTTATTACTCGCGAACACCTATTCGACCAAGTCCCAACTACAAATTGAATTTTATCAACAAATCTGCATATAGTAGATATATGTAGCTGTACAGATATTAGTAGCTGCTTGCGATGATACTTTTTCATTTCTTTATTATTACATTAACGATTGTTTATAAAAAACTACGTAGTGAAATATTTTAATAAATCTGATTTGATGGAAATTGAATTAATTTACCTACGGCCCGAAGCTTTCGATGCTATGCAGCAGCTATGGATACGGGGAGATTGTATATTTGGTAAAGCCTACCTTTTTCCATCAACCTATTTTTCTCTTACGCTGGGCTGCCTGGAAGAGCTCATTGCACTTCATAAGTACGTAAGACTCGATTGTATATATTTTTTCTTGTCCATTGTGCAAAAAAAAAGTGTTTATAAATAAATAACCTTTCGAGATTATACATGGAATTAAAATTCGTTGAGTCTTGGATTCGATTTCCATCGGGGTTTGGTTTTGGTTAATTCATTGTCGTCCTGGCATTACTTTTATTTTAGTAAGCTTTTCCCTAAAATTTTGACAAGTAAAATAAACTCTAAACAACCCATAAACAACATAAAAATATAATATCAGGTGACTAACGATATAATTTTATTTATTAATCACAGATGATCATTTTACTTAGTAGTGTAAATGGTATCGTAAATTGTGGTTTAAACAAGTAGAACAACATTTGATATGAAAAAACGACATATTTGGATCATGTTTCAGGTTTACCTTCGCATATTTAGCAATAAAATTATATGAGGCATGTACTACATGTAAAACATAATCTTTGTACCATGCACTTATTATGTTACTATGAAAAAGGACATCTAGACATTGGAGGTTTTAAGGAATAACGATATTAAAAAAAACTACAAACCAAACTGTTATGTTGTCGATTCCTGTTTTTTTTTACTTCTGAATTGAAGTGATTTAAAAAAGACTATTTGTCTGTAATCACATCGGTAAATTAGTGGTCAATCGTATTGCATAGCATTGAGTTAATTACGGGAGGTCCTATAATAGAATCCTGTGGAAACAATAATTTGTTTCGGATGGGCAAGGGATAGAAGTCTGATCAACTACTTGCCTGTAGACCTGATTAGTAAAACGGACACAGAAATATGTTCCCCTCATGCCCTATAGCTGAGTTCACGACTATTTGTAGCGTCTGGTTGGTTATTAAATTACGCTGGTGTAATTAAAGAAATCCTATTAAAACTTATTAATGAAAACTCCTTGCTTGAAAAGATTGACACTATTTTTACATGTCCCGGTTATATTATATATCTGTGGCTTTTAATATATCAGCCTTTGTAATCTTAGAGAAAAAACAGACTTTACCTACCATTTATTTATTTTTTCTCATATAATCTTGGTTTTAAAACGTTTTGTGTAAATTGACGCGTGTCCCTACCACCTGTACGACAGCTGTTAAATAAAATATCCCACATGATTGAAATCATTATAAACTTGACGTTTTTGTGATCCCAACCAGCTTTTCCCCTTGGTCTTAGCTACAACTACTTTGAGTCAGGCTGGACTAGTTAGGCACCTAAAAAGTTTGCAATAAAATCACGGATGTTATTGATTACAACTATGATCTTTATATAGGACATTAAAAGATATTCACTTAATTCAGATGGTAATCTATATTAAGTATGTAATATATATAGATTACAAAGCTTTTGTTTGAAGACGCTAATCTCGGGAACTACTGGTTCTGATTGCCAAATTCTTTTGTCAACAATAAGAAAATATATTACAACAAGTGTTATTAAAATAGTATTGATTTAATATGTTTTACTGGCAACAAAAAGGGTGAATCTATGACGACAATCAAACAAACATACATAATAATAATATACCAAGCAAGAACACGGTAATAAAAATTATAAGGGGTAAATTTTAAAACCCCCATGGATCTTTTCTATTCATTATAGTATCGTAGTGAAAATATGTTACAGCCGATTGTTTTAAATACCTACCAATAAGTAACTTGAAAATCATCAATGACGTCATTATTTGTAGGGCTTTACAATATTGCCTTCCAATATCGGTTTACAAACAATCACTCTTCAATAAAACAATCATCTGTTTGTTTCCACTCATTATTTATTTCATTCTATTGTATATCAGGGTGGAATTCTATGCACCCTGCACCGGTTTGATTGATACGACAGGTAACCGCGAGGAGGGGAGCGCACGTTGTACAGTTGAAACGCGTTTGCCGCCGTGAACGGTCGTGTCGCAAGCTGGCCCGAATGCCGGGAAACCAGTCGGCGGGATGGAGAGCTTCGGTGTGAGATCGACGCTATGTTGAAGCATGCTCAGCGGCCGCCGGCGGCGAACGATGCCGACCACCGCTACCAAAACATGCCGCGGCGGCCGCACCACCACATACCCCTTAATGTATCCACCCTGGACTCCTCAAAACATTCGGTCGGGGGCACATCCGCCAGCGTGAGTCCTGGCGCTCAGCCGAATGCCAATTCTTTACCTGTAGCTCCTATTCCAGTGGCTTCACCGCCTAAATTGGCAAACGGGAACGCTGGTCCTCCAGCCAGACAACCTTCGAGGAATAGAAGCAACAGAGCGGCCACCGAGGAGGCGCTGACGTCCCTCGCATTGCTGTGCCTCGTCAGCTTGCTCCTTGCGTTGCTGGCATTGCTTTTCCTCTTGAAAATCTCTGCGCCAGCGACGTCGGCGCCGGAGGAGTTCGCCGTTGTGTATGAAGTGACATTAGCCCTATGTGCCCTAACGTTGTCGTTGAACCTATGCTGTCTGTTAGTGTGTGCTATACAGTTCCTGTTTGCGGTGAAGCTGGTGCATTCGCCGTCTGCGCCGAACGGCCGGTGAGTTTTATCCTACGGCATCCGTTTATGGCGAACCGGTTTAGTTACGTCAAGTTATCGAATTTAATATTTGGACACGTTATCTCGTACTAGCAGGGTTGCCCTACAGCCAAGTTTTTTTCCATTAAGATAAAAAAGAAAAGCTAATTATAGCTCTGTAAAATTAAAAAAAAGGCAAGAAAAATTTTATTTTCGTTAACCACCAATGCTCCATGGAATTCCAATCCAAAACACCCACCTGATTTTATTACTTATAAAATTATGATATTTAGTCAAACTTTAATGCAATACACCATTTCTCCATCTGAGAAGAAATACGTACCTAAAAGGAATTGGCGTCAGTGATAAGTAGCATTAGCTAGCAAACAAAAATTTGCCATCCCTACGGGTAACTGTAAGGAATTCTGAATATTAAATACATTCCAGATTAAAAATACGTTGATTTACGATCGATATTAAAGGCGATGTTAGCGGAATCGAATGTTATCTCGTTATCTGTTTAGGAGGCAGGTGCTAACGGTCTTCCGCGTCGGTTATTTGAATGGCGGGTGAAAAAAATTTCCCTCAACGGTTAAGCTCGCACGCGCTACATGTCTCATTGTTCAGCCATTTATAATTAGCGTAACGTTTTCAGCCGCTAGACTGTTTGCTTTTTGTTGTTCAAATAATTGGGTCGGAATAGAATCGTCACTTGATATCGAATTGAATCATTATGATACCCATGCATTGTCAATATTTTGTGATTTTTAGCTTTATTTTAACGAAGAAATTGAATTGTCATTTGTCATTCGCACCTCTTACGCATTAAACTTTACCTAATCAAATTGTCGAGAAATGTTTGCTTATTTAAATAAAACACTTTAACGATTTAAAACGCGATATATTTCGCGTTAAAATGATTTTTAATTTCGCCCCGACGTTTCTGTTGCTGGGCGGTACGGGGAGAACATTTTTAAATAAGTTTAATTAATATATCGCGTTTTAAACCGTTAAACTGTTTTATTTAAATGTGTACTATCGTAACCATAGACAGTATTTAATGTTTGCTTATTTTTTATCTTTATCTTAGTCTGATCTTTTCTAATTTTTAACCAAAAACTCTTTGACATAATTTAAGGGTTTATCGTATGTCAAAAAAATTAAAATTTTATTGCTAAATTACGTAGATTCGCATTGTATGAGTAAGAGATGCTTATCTATTAAAAGGAATCTTTAATCTTATGTCAAATTGTCTTATGTCCCCATATTTATATAATATATACTCGTATTGTGTGCAACACAAAACTAAGTCAAATATTGTATTCACCTATTTTAAGAGATGTCCAAGTTTAAAACCAATAATTTCTACTTCATTTCCTGTATCAATAATCACGTGCCGTTATTCCAATTAATCGTTCCCTCATCGAGAAAAACTAGAATCTGGCCTATACGAGACAAGTACCGGTAGTTCGCTCTTCCGCGTGCTCTGAAGGAATTCGTGTTCGGCCATTCACATTCTCTATTGCAACGTGGCTGGGATGAAGTCAAACAGAGCTTTGGAGACGCCCCTTAATAATCATTTCGTTATACGGTACCATGAGTTAATAGTAATACATATAGTAAGTACATACATAAATTAATAATGAACTATTGTTTTATTTATGTACAAATTTGTAATATGAAGAATGACAGCTAGAAGACACTTTAACTGTTTAGTACGCAATATACATATATTTAACCTATATCGCGTTTTAAACCGTTAAAAGTGTTTTATTTAAATGTGTACTACTCGTATAGGCCAGGGATTTGTCATGGTTGAGAGAGACTGTATATTTATCTGGTTTCTGGTTTATCAAGTTTCAGGATTAGGTACTGAAAATTAATAGATTAGAAAGGAAAAAAGTAATAGTTTATTAGATTAGACTCTTGTTAAATAAATGCTGCTAATTGCTGATATATTACAGCAAGCAATCATTTATTTATAAGCCATATAGAATTACCTGGATTTTTAAAATTCTTATTAGGTATTGGACAATTATATTTGTTTATGATTGTTTAATATTTGAAATCATTTATAAATTAAAATATTCTCAATATTTTCTCGTATACTTTAGTAATTGTTGAAAGGTGAAATTAAACACCAAAACTTTCAAATAACGGTATGATGTCTATTCACAAACGTGAGTTATGTAAAAAAAAAAATTTATAGACAGGAAAAAATTATTGTAAGTTACACTGCCTAATCGTGAGAATTATTTTATTCGGGCAACACAGTATATTATTGTTAAATACTTCTCAGAGCCAGTATAGATTTGGGGATCTACTGAATTTTATTTGTGAATGGAAGCCGCTTTCAATGGAATTAGTTCTGTAGGTTTTTAACTTTGCAAACCGAATAATTGATATTGTACAATTCGAGATTGCAAATAACGACAGGTACAACCGGTCTTGTCTTCCGACTATCATGACCTTAAATTCGAAGTGTAAAGCCTGGGTTGAAGTGACTAAGCGGACCCCGTTTGATTTTATCTCTGGGTCTTCAATAGTAACCATGGCAACCACGTGGCAGAAGTCCTAACAACCATGATTTTTTTTTATTTATTCATAAAAATAAATAGCTTATCAAACCTAAATATGAAGGTTTGGTAAGGTTTTATTATAGTAATATTGTAATTTTTCAAGCGTGTTTATCAAGTACTATATAATTTTTATCAACATATACAATGATTACTAAACGTCTTATTTTTAGGTGGATTTTGATCTATTTAAGATAATACTTTAAATTATGCAATTACGTTTCACGCATCTCTCGCGCTGATTTTATTAATGTCTTCGGCCAACATACAATTACAGAATATCTTAACTTAAAACGTTTTTTTTTTCAAATACATTATTTAAAATGATCCTTTACACATCAATACAATATATCCATATTATGCTTTTCAACAGCCGTGGTCATGGTGGAAATTCAGTCTCGTTTAACCTGTTCAAATGTGTTTATTTATGGAACAACATTCTCAGGAATAAAATCGCAAAAGCAATAATGCAACATAATGAATATAAAATTGCAGCCTAAGGACTGGAACTTGAATAAAAAACCTGTAAATATGTCTTACATAAGCTGATTCAAGGTGAATGTACCGAGGTTTGCACTTTTATCAATGCGTAGACATATTTAATAGTTCAAGTATATTTTTTTGTCTCTGTACATTTAGATAGCTTAGAATATTACAAGGTGTTTGACTGGTTTGCGCAATTAAATAAAATTATTTGTGACTTCAAGATACCTCTATTATTTATAGTACATATCTATGATTAATTAAAGAAAATATGTGAATTGACATATTACGATACCTACATACGGCCTTTGCTCTGATGTTATTAAGATTAGTGGAAAACTGAAAATATATAAAATTTACCAAAATAATTTAAGCATTTTACTTAAACATGTAAAATGGTTAATACTCATGTACGTTTGTCAATGCCATATTAATTTTAATTAATAATTTTAATACTACAGAAATAATCATAATACTTACAGATAATTTTAATTGCGCGTAATGGTATAAAAATTAACTTAAACAATATTGAATATAGTATTCATTTTATTAAATGTATATCTTCATTTGTTTTAAATTGAATGGCGTAAAGTAGTTAACTAGGAACATACTGAAAATAATGTCATCCAAAGTTGGCCACATTCGTAAATCATCTGTGTCGCCGGATGTTTCAAAATATTTGGCGTTCGTATGAAAGTAAGACTTCCTAGTTGCGGAAAATGTAAACAACGCGTTTACGAAATGTTCCATATCAAATGTAAGCATTTGGGTCAAATGGATTACGCGATTGCATTTACTACGGTAACTGGTAAATGACCTGGTAAATGTTTTGTTTGTACAATATTAGCTACGGACATAGCACTTTATATATGGCTCTAGATAGTACATAATTTTAACAGAAATAACATTTAATGTTGTTTAAATGTTATGTACTTCTTTATGACTTCGACCGGCTCCTTCCTGCAATGGTAGCAATGTTTGCCTCATAATCTATGGTTCGATCCCCACCGTATTCAATATTTTTCTAATCAATTAATATTTTTTCTAAAACATATTGGACTTCGTTTGGAAACCTGGATTTTAAATGGTAGAAACCAGGTCCCCAGATGAAAAAGTCTTGAAGTTTAATCGCGTTTAGGTTTTTAGTCTGTGGATTTTTGGATATCTAATGTGGATGAACTTTTCTCAATCTAATCTAATTCATTAGTAAATTTAAAGTTTGAAGGTTGAAGAATATATGAATTATTTAAAAAAAAAACTCAAAACCTACATATTCTCATCGATTTCCACAAAATGGTTGCTGTTTATAATAAAATTGCTTCAAAAAATTCCGATGCTGGTCCGAAATTATCATTACGAAATGTCGAGGTTTCTCTTTTGTCGAAATTCCGGTCCTTTCTCCTTACTCTTAATTCGGTTTATTTTCTTGCAATTGCATTATGTAAGATATAGATGAATTTTAACCGTTACGGAACATGATTTATACGAACACCTTATAATAATTCTAAAGATTGAAAACTAGAGATGTGCCGAGTACCTACTCGGTTGATATTCGTTACTCTGCGTACTCGGCGGGTTTTATGATACTCGTACTTGGCCGAATAACTCGGTTATGCTTTATTATTTGACAACGAGTATACACTGTGTAAGAAAAAGAATATATTTAGGTAGATATAATTAAAGCAACAGTGTTAATCCAAAAAGTATTTATAATGAATTACTTATAAATCTTTGAAATTTTCAAGTAATAAAATTAATTATTCGGTAGTAATGAGACGAAATTAGAGATGATGAGAGGCTAGCCGACGTCTTGCTGGCGGAAATCTGTTTGTACTTGTTTACGCGCGTGAAAAGGGAATTTCAGTGAACAGTTATTCGGCCGAGTACTCGATTAAAAAAAAAGCCGAGTAAACTCGGTACTCGTTAGTCGGTAAAAGTGTTACTCGGCGTATGTCTATCGAA